GGGTGAAATAAATGGCAGGTGAACGTCATTGCAGAGATGTCTGAAATGATTCAATTTGGTAGCTCCTTTAGGTTGAAGAACAGGTCAATTGAGATATAGAAGCAGTCATTGGAGGGGATATTTCAGACTACACATTCCAATGAGTAAGAGCAATTTCAAAAAATAGACCTGCCATTTATGGTTAACTAGAAAGGCTAAAAATAGTACATTGCTTAAAAAAAATGCTTCTAATTGTTAATATTTAATTTGACAGGAGATTGTTTGGAAGATTGGACAATATAAAAACAGAAAAAACTGACAAAAAATTAATGAGAAAAATTAGAGTACAAGATAAACCCATCCAAAAATATAAAAGCCTTTTGGAGTTTTTTAAAAGTATTTTTTTAAAAATGAGTTAATGTCAGCATTGGTCCAATAAAAAAAATTGGAAAATTGATAATGGACAATAAAGAGATGACAGATGAATTGAGCAGGTATTTCACATCACTCCTCAGTTATAAAGGATACAAAAAAGAGCAAGGAATATCCCAAAAGCAATGATAAATCAAGAAATCAGGAAACGGATGGCTGGAAGAACTCAGGGAAAATTACAATCCCCATGGAAGTAGAACTTACTGAATTGCTGGATTTGCAAGCTGTTAAGTGCCTTGGTCCTGACAGATTCCATCCTTGGGTCTTAAATGATGTGGCAAACGAAATATTGATACATTGGTCTTAAATTTTCCAGATTCTGGAAAGATCCCTATTTTAATAGAAGACAGCAAAAAAGAACCTCCTTTATACAAAAGGGAAACAGAAGATAAGAAACTATGGGCCAGTTAGCTTAACACGTACCATAGGGAAAATGTTACAAGCTGCTATTAAAGTTACTGCAGTGCAACTTGTGAAGTTCAAGACAAAGTCATCATGGTTTGCGAAAGGGACATTAAATTTAATCAAATTATGAGGAATTCTTTGAGCAAGTAAGGTGCTGTGGATAATGGGCACTTGTGGATGTACTGTATCTAGATTTCCAGAAAGCATTTGATGAAGTACCACAAAGGTTGTTGCACAAAAGCTCATGGTGTTGGGAGTGGCATTATTGGCCTTGATAGGCAGGCTAACAGGAAACAGGTTGTCAAGATGTAATGAGTGGTACGCCAGTGATCTGTGCTGGGATCTCAACTGTTTGCAATTTTATATGTGACTTGGATGAAAGAACCAAAGATAGGATGGGGTAGGTATGCATGTGGATTTGTGGTTACAATCAGATCAGCCATTATCTCAAATGACAGAGCGGGCCAATAACAGCAAACTGCCTCTTCCTTGTGTTTGTTGTTTAGAGGGCCCTGGTAACTGCCTCAGTGATAATCATGTACTGCCAATGCCAGTTCCCATTGCAATTCTTGGCAGCCTTCCATTTCTGGACCATCTTCGTGGTAATCAAGAACCCAGTAATTTCTGCAGTACACAAAACTCACCGAACAATAACATGTAAAAGTGTTGTGGTACACAGTGCTTACTACACTCAAATATCCACTTGTTAACTTGGCACTAGGTGTAAAGTTATACAACACATTGAGAACTTCAGTGATTTAAACATTATAAATATATAAAAGGTAAAATCGCCATAGTCCTACTGGACCACTGGGCTGTTCTCTCATTAGAGAGATGACTGGTGGCGGTGGTTTAACCTGAGGGTCACCACATGTCAGCTGATGCAGGAATTGAATCCACACTTGTTACTTTGCATTGCAAATCAACTGTCTAGCCACCTGAGCTAACCAGCCTCCTATAAATGTATAGATAGTTAATTAAAACATCAAATAAAAAAATATTTGCTAGATTCCTGACATAGTGCCTTTTGAATCAGTGTTGAAGTTTCAAAAGCTTACACAAACGAGCAAATAAAAACAAGACACATTTTATTTTGTAATGCATCTTTGAAGATGTCTTTCAGATGAAACGTTAAATCGTCTGCTCAGATGGATTATTTAAAGAACCAAGTGCCTTCTGGTTGTGTGTGTGTAAATTACTTGTACAGTCACTGTTACTGTGTTGAAACTTAGAAAACATGTTTAAAATCCAGAGGTGGCAAATGATTGGAGTTGAAGTCAAGGCAGGACAAAACCAAGTGTTGTACCAAGCTACCCTTGTAAAATTGTCAGGTTGGAAATGTGCCCAGCACAAAGAATGCAAATGTTTACTGAAGCCTGATATTTTTAGCCTTATGCTCCTCAGGGTAGTGTCTTCAGTACCTTATTGACCTTCCCATTGTCATAAAGTCAGAAGCAGGGAATGTTGAAGTGCTTGTTTTCTTATTTGGCTCATTGCTTTAAATTCCAGCATACAAACATGCAGTGCCAGCTCTTTATTGCCCTGCTACAGTCATTTGCTCACACTACAATAAGAGTAAAATGGCTTCTTGCATTCCTTTTCATGCTGATGAAGGTGCATTATTAAAGCCTATGGAATGAACAATAGTCTGTAGCAGTGCATGGAGTTACTGGCTGAAAGGTATAGAAATGGTAATTTACAGAATAGAAAGGAAATTAATTGTCATGTGGACTTTGACATGTAAGTTACAGTGAAATGTTTTAAGTTGCCACACCATGGCACCTATGGTTAATGACAGAAATTGTCTTAATAAAAAAAAAAACTGTAAAACTATGTATAAAGTTCATTATAGTTCAGTTAACAGCTCCTAGGCCCAGGGGAAAGCTGATTAAGGAATGATAGAATACCCTGAAGATGCAGCCGGGACAAGAATGCTATGCAGGGTTGCTGGAAGCCACCTTGTCGCTGGGCCAGAAGATGGCCCTCCTCTTGCCCATCCAGTGCTCCCCCAGACACTGCTGCTGATCGGCCGCCTATCCCTTTTGCCAATGTTTCCACTCAGTCATGTTTTCTAGCTGTGGACTGGAACCTTGGCCCAGTCTACAAGTCTGGACGAGGGTAAGTCAGCCGAGGAACTGCTCCTTGTTTGACAGGAGACCCCAGGCTGGAGTGGAGCTGTGTCCGTCTCATCCTGGTGTTGCTGCCGCCATGGTGAACAAAGCCGTTAATTCTCAATGTGGGAAGTCACATCCTCCTCAAGCCAGTTGTGTTGCAGACATCGATTCTCAGTGTCAGGTTTCCATGAGCCAAGTCACAATTAGCTTCTAGCCAGTAGAAAAGGCCACTCCAAGGTCGTATGTCAGGGTCTGGCTACTCTTCTGCAGGTTACTAAACAACTACCTAGTTATTCTTCTGGATGTATGAATGAACTGTTTTCAACATAGTTTTCTCATTTCTGTGGAATTACTCCTTCTTGGGTAGCTGCTGCTCAGGGTTTGCAAAGGACTTCATGGGAGTCCAGACAGTTCATTGCAATTAATTAGTCACACAGCCAAATAGTCATACACAAGTAGAATAATGCACAACTGAAATATATTTTCTCCTCATTCCATTAACATGATTATTTGACTTTACTAGCTCAGGGCCATTTCTTAGATGGACCACTGATTGAACGGGCACATCATACATTAATACTGCCCCTGCTGAGGGCTTACTTTTATGCATTGCATTCACTTGACACACGGAGATGTCCATTGCCCAACACAAGTTGACACAATCCACCCTATATCCAACAGACCACTGTAACTGAAATTCCCGCTCTAAAAAAGGTATCGTGGATCTGTCTACAGCACATGGACTGCAGCACTTTAAGAATGACAACATACCACCACCTTCTCAAGGGCACCTGGGGATTGGCAGTTAAAATTCTGGCTAGCCGGCAACACCCACATCTCATGTGTGAATAAAAAAACTCTTGCAATGATTCTAATTTAAATGTATGCTGTCCCAAAGGTTGCCATTTCCTGGACTCATTTTCATAGACTTAGGATGATTGGATGAGTTCCCATTTTGCACCTCACTCCTTAGACGAAGCAGTCTGTGTCCATATGCCTGGATCCAGACTTGGGCTGACAAGAGGCATGAAATTCAGAGCTTGACTTGAGGGGGATGCAGAGTAGGCAGTCTTCGACCATTTAAGAACAGCTTCTTCCCCGCTGTTACCAGCCTTATGAACGGATCTCTCATATTGGAGCTGACCTTTCTCTGCACCTTCTCTGTAGATAGGTGGGAGAACCTGTCCATCTTTTCTCATACCTATCTGCTCCTCTCATCACTGGCAAACCCCCCACCCCCACCTCCTACCTACCTAGCAGCCTCATCCCCGCCTCCTTGATCTGTCAGTCTTCCCTTGACTAACCAACCCCCATCCTAACTCCCCAGCTACACTCACCTTTACTGGCTCCATCCCTGCCTCCTTGACCTGTCCGTCTCCTCTCCACCTATCTGCTCCTTTATCCACCTTCCATCCGCCTCCCCCACCTCTCTATTTCCGAATCCCCTTCCCCTCCCCCATTTCTGAAGAAGGGTCCAGACCCGAAATGTCAGCTTTCCTGCTCCTCTGATGCTGCTTGGCCTGCTGTGTTCATCCAGCTCTACACCTTGTCATCTCATGATCAAGGTCTATCTAGTTTCTCTCCACCTTCCTTATATACATATCACATATAACACTAATGCACCTGCTGACTGATCCAGTAATCAAATCGCCAATTAATCAATAAAAAGACCCAAATACAGCAGAAGGAATAGCCCAGCAGTGTACAGCTTTGAGAACCATATGTCCAAATTCTCCTGGGTAAGAATATTGGTATGTTATTGAATTACATAACAAATAAACACTAACAGCACTCTTGAGGGCTCAAATGGCCGATTTTTGCTCCTATATTTCTGTATTTTATACAATGAATTTAACTTCTGATCACAATGATGCCACCACCATTAGAGAATTTGAATTTCAGAGGATAGTTTTCAGTGTTACAATGGCTCCATTCATTTGATGTGCCTGTAAAGAAAAAGTTGGTAATTACATAGAACCCACTATCTTAATATCCTGGACTTTCAACCATGCCATCAACAGGTGAGGTATGAGAATGTTTTCACAATGCAAGTAACTAAGAAAGAGGCCATTTCAGATCTGTCATATTTTAATATTCCATATACTTACATAATTTTGTAGTTATGTTATTAAATCTTACATCAGATAAAACTATAAAAGTCATAAGATTCCTTCAGTCCAGTGCAGAAGTCAGTGAACAAATACCCAGGTCAATCCTTATGCAGTCATAAATTCAACAGAAGATCATTTGATAAGACTCAAACATCAGAAGATTATTCTCGGTCACTATCACTGCTGGTGGCATCCAACTCTTCCAGTGATTTTCTGTTTGTTTGGAAACAAAAGAGAATAGCATGAAAACTTTTCAAAATCCATAAGTTTGCTTTGCAACAAATTTCAGAGCTGGAATACTTTAGTTTTAACAAACTGTTTCAGTTCCACCAGAACGACTCAGCTTCGGGCCTCAGTACACCCTTGGTCAAAACATAGGCTAAACAGGTGATCTTCAGAGGGGAGGTGACAGTAACTGCCCTTGATGTCAAGGCCACATTTGACAGAGGTGATGGCCTAATGGTATTATTGCTGGACTGTTAATCCAGGTAACATTCTGGGGACCTGGGTTCAAATCCCACCACAGCAGATGGTGGATTTTGAATGCAGTTTAAACAAAAAAAAAATCTGGAATTAAGAATCTAATGGTAACCGTGAATCCATTGTTGATCGTCAGCAAACACCCACCTGGTTCACTAATGCCCTTTAGGGAAGGAAATTGCCATCCTTACTTGGTCTGGCCTACACGTGACTCCAATCCACAGCAATGTGGTTGACTCTTAACTGCCCTCTGGGTAATTAGGGATGGGCAATAAATGCTGTCTAGCCAGCGACACCCTCGCCCCATTAATGAATAAAGGAAAAAAACCCTTGTATTTTTACGCTATCATCTGTTTTACATAATGCAGCTTAACTTTTGAGTCATCAGCAAATTTGGAGACATAACTTTCTCTGCTATTGTCCAAGTTGTTAATAAATACCGTGAATTATTGAGGCCCTAACAGAGCTATGTGGAACTCTGTTGGTCATTGAGCATAATAACATGTGCCAAGGTGCACTAAAAAAGCCTTAAAAATAATTTAACACTGAGCCACATAATCTGGAATTAAGAATCTAGTGGTGACCATGAATCCATTCCCGACTGTCAGGAAAAACCCATCTGGTTTACTAATGTCCTTTAGGGAAGGAAACTGCCATCCTTACCTGGGCTGGCCTACACGTGACTCCAACCCACAGCAATGTGGTTGACTCTTAACTGTCCTCTGGGCAATTAGGGATGGGCAATAAATGCTGCCTAGCCAGCAACGCCCTCATCCCACTAAGGAATAAAGAATTTGAGAGAAGATGGCATTAAGGAGCCGTAGTAAAACTAATGTCAATGGGAATCAAGGGGAAATCTCTGCACTGGTTGGAGCACAAGCAAGATGATTACAGTTGTTGGAAGTCTGTCACCTCAGGTCCAGGACTTCGTCGGGGTAGTATCCTAGGCCCAAATAATTTCAGCTGCTTCAATGACCTTCCCTCCACCATGGGAAATGTTCACAGATAAAAGCACAATGTTCAGCACCATTTGCAACTCCTCAGATACTGAAGCAGTAATGCAGCAAAACCTGGACAATATCCAGGATTGGGCTGACAAATGCTAAGGAACATTTGCACCATACATGTGCCAGGCAATGATAATTTCCAACAAGACAGTGTGGATTTGCACAAACTAAATAAAACACACTTCTGCCCCTGCCCTATGTTTAAACACAGGTTATAGATTAACTAAGCAAACAGGCTTACTTCTCTTCATCCGTCAGTTGATACTCAATCATTACGCGCTCAAACAGCTCTGATGTTGCAGGCAAACTGAATGTCCCGGCCAGTTTTACCAAGTCAATAGCCAGAGTCTTGTTATTGCTTTCCTTAGCATGATCCAAAAACTCATCCAATAGTTCTTTACTGAATAAAAGTAAAACAATATTGAGATTCTTCAGAAAATCTTACAAAAGTATACGAAGCAATCTTTCAAACAATCTTCCACCCTTTACTTTGAAGTTACTAAGATATAGGAGCAGAATTAGGCCATTTAGCCCTTCAAGTCTGCATTCAATCATGGCTGACATATTTCTCAATTCCATTCTCCAGCCTTCTCCCCATAACCTTTGGTCCCCTTACTAACCTTGAACGTACTTACCTCTGTCTTAAATACAGAGAATAACTTGGCCTCCACAGCCGTCAGTTCCACAGATTAATCATGCTCTGACGAAAGAAATTCCTCCTCATCTCAGTTCTAAAGGGTCATCCCTTTACTGAGGCTGTGCCCTCGGGTCCTAGTCTCTCCTACCAGTGGAAACATTTTCTCCATATCCATTATATCCAGGCCTCTCGGTATTTCCCCTCTCATCCTTCTAAACTACATTAAGTACAGACCCAGATTCCTCAAACACCCCTCACACGACAAGCCCTTCATCCCTAGATCATTCTTTGTAAACCTGAGGTGAGGTGAGAGTGACAGCCCCTGACATCAAGGCTGTATTCGACAGCGTAGCATCAAGGAGCCCTAGCAAAACTGGAATCATGGGTACCAGGGGCAAACTCTCGATTGGCTGGAGTTATACCTGGCACATAGGAAGATGGTTGCGGTTGCTGGAGCTCAGTCATCTCAGCTCCAGGACATCTCAGCAGGGATTCCTCAGGGTAGTGCCCTAGACCTAACCATCTTCAGCTGCTGCAATGACCTTCCCTCCATTGTAACATTAGAAATGGAGATGTTTGCCGATGACTGCCCAATGTTCAGCACAATTCACAACTCCTCAGATACTGAAGCAGTCCGTGTTCAAATGTGATAAGATATGGATCCGTTCTGAGGAAAGATCACTCGACCCGAAACATTAACTCTGATTTCTCTCCACAGATGCTGTCAGACCTGCTGAGCATTTCCAGCAATTTCTATTTTGGCTTGGGCTGACAAGTGGCAAGTAACATGCACACCACACAAATGCCAGGCTATGACCATCACCAATAAGAAACAATCCAACCGCTACCCCTTGACATTCAATGGTGTTACCATCACTGAATCCCCCACTACTGACATCCTGGGGGTTACAACTGACCAAAATTTCAACTGGATTTGACACATTAATACAGTGCCTACAAGAACAGGTCAAGGCTAGGAATATTGCGGCAGGTAACTGACCTCCTGACTCCCCAAAGCCTGTCCACCATCTACGAGGCACAAGTCAGAAGTGCGATGGAATACTCCCCACTTGCCTGGACATCTAGGATAAAGCAGCACTACATCCATAAGTATCCATTCACTTTATGACGGATGGTCAGTATCTGCACTGTGTACTATCTAGATCCAAAACCACAACCACTTCAATCTAGAAGGACAAGGGCAGCAGATACATGGAAACACCACCTTCTTCGAGTTCCCCTTCAAACTAGTCACCATGCTGACTTGGAAATATATCACGGTTCCTTCACTGTCGCAGGGTCAATATCCTGGAATTCCCTCTCAAATGGCATTGTGGGTCAACCCATAGCATGTGGACTGCAGTCGTTCAAGAAGGCAGCTCACCACCACCTTCCCAAGGGCTAACTCAGGATGGGCAATAAATGCTGGCCAGCCAGTGATGCCCACATCCCACATCTCTATTCTTCCTACCATAGTTTCTAAGCCTCTCACTTTCCCATATTATATTCCAGCTGCCACTTTGCCCACTCTCCTAGCCTGTCCTAGGACTTCTGCAGTCTCCCACCTCCTCAACACTACCTGCCCCTCCATTTATCTTTGTGTCATCTGCAAACAGATCCACAAGACCCTAATCTGAAAAGATGATTATCAACAGAAGCAACTTACCCAGGAACCCTGTTGTTAGTTTTAAAAAGTTGCAGCATCTCCCTGGCAATAAAGATGACAAGTTATTAGATACACGTTGACTGAAATCAACAATATTGATCAATTAATCTAATCTCACTCCTCGTGGCCCTAGGTTTACCAGATACCCTTGAAAAAGGAGTATTGAATCTGCTCCTGCTATCATTTCAGGCAGTGCACTGCCGATCTCAATAACACACTGTCCATATGAAAAACCCTCACGCTACCTCTGGTTCTTTTGCCAATTACCATAAACCCACGTCCTCTAGTTCTTCTACTGAAAACTGTTTTGCCTTATCTACGTTTTCAAATCCCTTGTGGGTGATGTTATTTCTGTGGCACCACTGGGAGGTGAAAGTAGTACTCAGTAACTCAAGTAAAATTAACCATACGTCTATGTCAAATAAAGAGTTTAGAAAGGGGATTGTGAAAGGGCTTAATATCATCGATAAGAAAGAGTTTCCACTTGTGACGGGTGATGAATAAGGGAGGCCCAAGTTAATGATAGTCACCCAACAGACCAAATAATTAATTCTGGACAAAACGCTTTACAGGAATGACAAGGACGCAAAGCTCGTCACCACATAGTATGCTTGAAGATAGATAGCATTGATGCATTTCAGCTGATGCTGATAAATGAGAAGAAAGGGAACAGAGGGACATGGGAGAAGAACAGGACAGGGAAAGAATATACTAGCATTGACCAACAGGATTAAATGAGCCACGTGCACTGTTAATGCTTTTTAATTCTATGTAAATTCTCCATCACCCATCTTCAAAAGCAGTTGTCACCTAATCCTTCCCTTCACTAATTTGTGGAAGTTCTGTGCTCATCAGCTAAGAAATGGTGAATATGTCAGAAAAGAACTTTTTATGTTTCAGATACTCTAATGTCATTAGTCTGGATGAGGAAACACTTCAGCACTTCCAGCTCAAGTAGAAAAGTCCAGGCAGTGACTGAATTAAACTCTCTCCGCTTTTGTCCAGCGGAAGAAGATTAATTACAAACTTCCGAAGACAACAATTAAAAGACATTTGGATAGATATATAGATAGGAAAGGTTTTACAGGGATGTGGGCCAAACGGAGGAAAATGGGACTAGTTCAATTTAGGAAAGCTGGTCAGCATGGGGGATTTGGGCTGAAGGGTTTGTTTCTGACCTGTATGACTCTGTAACACCTTCTGCTGCACTGATGTTAACCACTATCCTGAGCTAGGACTAGCTTAGTGTCACAGGCTCATACGCCCTGAATTCTTGTGTTGAGAATTTCCAACCTCGTCAGAAAACCTTTACAGAGAGGTGACCAAATCAGTCACCTGGTGTTAAATATAAACACCTGGCAGAAGTGGAAGAAGAATATTAATCCCATGCAGACAAGTGTTAACACCCAAGTCTAGTCTCCCCTCTAGTCTATTCTGGGATCGAGATTTTATGACCCCAAAACAGGTTTTCAAAAGGGATAATTAATAGCTTGTCATGTTTCAATTCCAAAGTACATAAAGGCATGAAATATGCCCTTCTGTATGAACATAACTGTTTAAGTTAGTTTTTGGTCACCCATAAATGACTCTCCAAAATACTCACCAAGCATCTTGAGTTCGGCCTCCTCTCAGGAACAGAGCAGTGACATTTCCTAAAGAGGTAGATGTCCATTGCATATTACGGAACTGGTCCCGTTTATATACAGACTTTATGTCCAGTGCAGTCTCAGAAAATGCAGCTTGCAACTGGAAAGAAATGCAAAGATTAATTTCAATACCTGTGTGTAATACCTCAACCTATAATGGGAAGGTCACAGGCAGTTTCCAGAGTTAATTTCCAGAAAGATTGGGCCCATCTATGAGTCAATATCTGATAAACAACCTTCCAAGCTAGCAAGATTATTCTAGAATGGAAAAAATTTTCTCATGTGTAGATGTAACTTCACGAAACAGAATTAAATTTCAAATTCTGTTTTTATACCAAAATCTGTAATTCATCTCAGTTAATAGTTCACGGTTAGACTGGTCACACAGGGAACAGGGTGATGTGGTAAGTGGCAGGCAACTGGAAGCTCAAGGTCTTTCTGGCAGAGAGAGCATAAATGCTCTGTGAAGTGGTCACCCAGTCTACACTTCGTTTCCCTAATATAGAGGGGACCACGTTGGTGGGCAGTGAATGCAGTAGACTAGATTAAGTGAAATGAAGGTAAAGTGCTGCTTCACCTGGAAAGTTTATCTGGACCTTTAGATACTGAGAAGGGAGGAAGTAAACAGACATGTGCTACACGTTCTGCGTTTGTGGGGAGGGTGCTGGAAGTGAAGGAGAAGTGGACCAGCGTGTCCTGGAGGGATCAATCCCTGTGGAAGACTGACAAGGGAGGGGGAGGGGAGTATGTGGTGGCATCTTGCTGGAGGTGGTGGAAATGCCTATTAATGATCCTTTGGATGTGAATGCTGATGGGATGGTAGGGGAGGACAAGGGGGACCCTATCGCTGTTGTGGGAGGGAAAAAGAGGGGGTGAGGCCAAAGTGCTGGTGATGGGTCGGACTTGACTGAGGGCCTGGCCAACTACAGTGCTAGCGAATCCTTGGTTGAGGACGAAAGTGGACATTTCGGAGGCTCCCTTATCGAAGTTGGCATCATTGGAACAGATATGACGGAGAAGGAGGAATTGGGAGAATAGAATAGGGTGAGAGGACGTGTAGTCAAGGTAACTGTGGGAATCAGTGGGTGTGTTGGTGTCGCCAATGTCCACTACAAACTCACCAACACCATGGTCTCCCCTACTTTGGTGAAATGAAGTGTTGTTTCTGTTTAAAAAAAAAAAGACCCTGAGCTTCCAGCTGCCTCCCACTTCAACACACCACCTTGTTCCCTGGCCAACATTGATGTCTCAAGCTTGCTGCAGTGCTCCAGTGCACAACCTGGAAGAACAGCACATCATTTTCTGCCTTGGAACTCTTCAGCCTTCTGGACTCAATACGGAGTTCAACGATTTTAGGGCCTGAACACCTTCTCCAATGTCCTTACCCTAGTCCCCACACACCAGTCAGTCTGTTATTATACACAACACATTGTTAGCCACTAATAGCCTGCATTAATAGCTATTCACCCTCCCAGCCGGATTGTTATCCACTCTTTTGTCTGTTCAACTGTTGTTCTCTCTCTTTCAGCTCGATCCCCACCTATAGTTTACTCCTTAACCCCTCCCACCACCCTATCTTCTGCATAGAAGATATCTTTTTTCGAGCTGCCATCTGTTCTGAGGAAGGGTCACTGGACTGGAAACATTAACTCTGATTTCTCTCCACAGGTGCTGGAGACCTGCTGAGCTTTTCCAGCAATTTCTGTTTTTGTACTTTCTCAAGGCAATTAGAGATGGGTAATAGATATGGCCTTGCCAGCAATTGACAACAACCAGAGAACTAAGTTTAAAAAAAACTTTAAACAAAAAGTCATGGACTCATGAAGTACCTGACTATCTGCAGTTCATTTCTCAACTCATTGCTACAACGTTCTGTTTGCCTTTAAAATTGGACGTCCACTTCTATTCATTCACATTTCTGAACATCAACTTAAAATATAGCTGCTCCTGAATTCTACAGCAATAATTTAAGTTGAATGCACAAATAAGCAGAGCCAAACAGAGGAAACTTACTCACCTGTGGACTGTGTTTGTCACGACTCATCAGTTCAAGGACCTCCTCCACAAGATCCTGCTTATTACTGTGACCAAGTTGCTTAATGTCTGTGTGAAAGAAGAAAAATACCAACACCTCAATCTTCACCTTAAAGGGTTGTAAACTTTATTTTTCTTCATTCCTTCAAATGAGCAAACAGGCTGCACTGACCTTTCCAGACATTTGGAATCAGGTGCAAGTGGTTTTCAGTGTCCAACGCCTGCAGCAGATCCCTCATTCCTTGCACATTGGGGTAGTAGAGCTGTTTAAAAAAAAAGCACTTGAATATTTTCCCTTATGAAATGTTTCCTGCAGTTCCATTAAATTTAGACAAAATATTAAAATAAGTCAGGCAGATCCATAAAATGTCTATTTTGGGTGCATATGCTCTGCTACAATTACAAACTGGAGGTTACATGACCCCCTAAACAAACCATGGACTAAGCCCTCCTCCCCATTTCTCTTTAGTAGACCACACTTTCACTACCAAACATCAGGCACAGTTTATCACCTCCATCACCTGTTGTTTCTCCACACATCTCCTGCTGCTTTCCATCCTCTTCCAAGGTTTACAAACATGATTACTCCAGCCAGCCCAGCCCTGTCCAATCAGCCTTTCTCCTGTTATGAACGTGACAAATATGGGTAGCAGCTGTCTGGCTCCTTAAGCCTGTTTACGGCTGATCCAACTGTAGCCTTAATGCCACTTTTTTGACTGTGCTCCAGAACCCTCTGTACCACAACATTCTGCAGTCTCCCTCTATTTAAACGATACTCTTTTTAATACCTCTTGCCAAGTGGATAATCTTGCATTTTCCTACATTATAGATCATCTACCAATTGTTTGCCTACTCAAATACGACCACACCGCGCCCCCCCCCCCCCCAACTCCGCAGAGTCTTCTCTCCACCCTCCCCAATACCCTTGCATCTCAGCAAATTTTGATGCAGTACAACTGGCCCTTTCATCCAAGTTGTTAATGTAGACTGCATACAGTTGAGCCTTCAGCACAGGCACCCCACTACTCTCAATTTGCTAACCTTAAATAACTAATTTACCTTATTTCCTGTTGGTTGTTAATTGCCTATCCATGCCAATATATTATCATACAAACAACAACTCTCATCTTGTGTACTGACCTTATTGAATGCTTTCTGGAAATCCAAATACTTTACATCTGGTTCACCTTTAGACAGCCGCTTGTTACATCCTCAAAACACAGATAAACTTGCCTAAGACCATTTTCATTTCATAAAACATTCCAGAGTCAACATTGTATCAAAAACTTTCCCAATGGTTTGCCATTGTTTAATAATGGATTGAAGCATTTCTCCAAGGACAGATGCCAGGCTAACCAGTCTATAGTTTCTTCATTTCTGTCACCATCTTTCTGGAATAGGCTTGTTAAAAGTTAGCAGTTTTTCAACTCGCTAAAACCTTTCCAGGATCTAGGCAGTTCTGGAGAATTACAACCACTTCTGTAGCCACTTCTTTCAAGAGCCTGTGATGCAGATCATCAGGTCCGGGAGATCTGTTAATCTAGAGATTTTGCAATACTTTTTCTCTATTGGTCCCTATCCTTTATCCTGTTTCTACACTTACCCCCATGGTTGTGAACTCATTTGGATAAACCTATAGCTGATGAACAATCTGACAAACACTTGACTAAACTTTTCTCCTTCAGATGTACCATGCACTTCTAGGTTCCAGAATCCATGTCTTACAACATTTTTACTTTATCTTCAGAACCAAAAGATCAGAACTTAAATTGCTCAATAAGTGCTGTTATAACTATTACAAGTATTATACAGTATAACAAACATACCGATGGAATGAGGGCTTTATACCACTTGAGAACCACGTCAATGCTCTCCATTGTGCATAAGAGGCTAAAGAATCTCCCACTGAAAATTAAAAGTAAACTTAATAAACATTAGCAATTGTTTGATTATAACATTACTGTACCAAATTCTTCAAGGTACATCACAGGAGCTTTGAAATACACCTAGAACACCTCTGCAGGATTTCTCAGGGGCAGTGTTCTAGACCAAACTATCTTCAGCTGCTTCACTGACCTCCCTTCCATCATAATATCAGAAGTACAGATGTTCACCAACGACTGCACAATATCCTGTCAGCTGACTAATGGGTAGTGATATTCGTGCCTGCATGCCCTACTGTGCGTGTGTGTGCGCGCCTGACTGACTGTGTGTCTTTTAGAGGATTTGGGGAGTCTGATGGTGAGTTACCTGCTCTAATATATCTCAGCATTCAAACTTTCGCTGTAGCTACAGTTTTTATGTAGTTGATCCAGTTATGTTTCTGCCGATGGTAACCCTCAGAATGCTGATTGTGGGGAATTCAGCAGTGGGAAACCCACTGAATGCAAGGCGAACACATTATACATCAAATAGAAAGTCATTTCCTAGCACTTAATAGCAATCAACATTTGCACCATGTTATCAGCCTGAACTTGGATACTGTCCAGATCTTGGTGCAAATTGACATGGGCTGTTCCAGTAACTGAGGAGTTGTGAATGGTGCTGAATATCATGCAATTATCAGTGAACCACTTCTGACCTTATGATGGAGGGAAGATCATTGATGAAGCAGCTGAAGATGGTTGGGCCGAGGACACTACTCTGAGGAACGTCTGTAGAGTTGCCCTGGAGCTGAGATGATTGTCCTCTGACAACCTCTGTGTTCAGTCTGACTCCAGCCAGTGAGGTACTTTCCCTCTGAACTCCACAGGTTTCTGTCTTTCTAGGGCATCTTGACACTGTACTTTATCAAATATTATCTCAATGTCGACTGTAGTTTCTGTCAGAGTTCAGCTCTTTTGTCTACGTTTGTATCAAGGCTGGAATGAAGTCAGGAGATGAGCTATTCTGGCAGAACAGAAACTGAACATCAGTGAGCAAGTTGTTGCTGAAGATGTGATGTTTGATCGCAATGAGAGCAGTATACTCCACTTGTAAAATACACTGGGATTTGATTTGGTGTTCATGGGACATGGGTGCCACTGGCTAAGCCAGCATTTATTACCCATACCTACTTGCCCAGAGGGCAGTTAAGAATTAACCTGTTGGTCTGGAATGACATATAGGCCAGATCAGATAACAGGAGTCAAGATACAGTACTTGAGGCTAAAAGAATCAAAAACTGTATGGGGAGAAAGTGGGAACAGGGTACTGAGTTTGATGGTCAGCCTTGATCATATTGAATGGTGGAACAGGTTTGAAGGCCCACTGCTTCTATTTTCTATGTAAGGCAGATTTCCTGCCCTAAAAGGGACATTTGTGAACTGGATAGGCTTTAATGACAATTGTCAGTTGTCATATTGTTCCCTTCAGACCATTTTACTTTTTAAGAAGTGCAGAATTTTATTTAATTCAGATTTCAGCATCTGCCATGGTGGGATTTAACCCATGTCAGCACAGCATTAGTCTGGGGTTCTGGATTACTAGGCCAGTGCCATCACAGCTACGACACCATCAATACTGTCGATGATGGAGGTTTCAGATAAAACAAAAAGTGCCGAGAAGTCTGGTAGCATCACTGCAGTGATGCCGCCAAGTCAACAATTTGAATAAAATCTATGAAAGCTCAAGAAGCAGCTACATAGACACGGACATAAAAATTTTTTACATTATGCCCCACGTATAAATTTTAATGGTGGTAGTAACGACACTGGACTAGTAATTCAGGATGTTAGGCTCATGTTCTGGGGACAAGGGCTCAAATCCCACCATGCCAGATGGTGAAATTCAGATTCAATAAATTTCTGGAATGAAAAACTAGTCTAAAAGGTGATCACGTAAATCACAATTGATGGTTATAAAGACATGTCTGGTTCACTGATATCTTTCAGGGTTCCAGTCATATTGGATTTAGTACTAATCTGGTCATCTCTCCACAGATGCTACCAGACCTATGGGAGTTTTCCAGCATTTTCTGTTTTATGACACATTCTATCATTTTGCTCAGTATGGAGGCAGTGGTTGCCTGGATTAGATTTGTTGGGACCGGACACAGCTGAGCAACATTCTACATCATCATGTAGGCAGCAGCACTGCAGCTGTACTGGAACAGCTTGATTTGAGGCTTCATTACTTCTGGTGAGAGTTTAATATATCCAACAAGAAAAATGAAAAAAAGAGGGAATTCAGTCTGTGCACTTGGTGCAACCAGAAGGCTAAAGTTGTTCAAATCAGGGAAAAAGATGATACACAGGGCCAGATCATCTCAATGGGTACGCGATGGCCTAGTGGTATTATCGCTGGACTGTTAACCCGGAGGCCCAGATAATGTTCTGGGGACCTGGGTTCGAATCCCATCATGGCAGATGGCGGAATTTGAATTATCTGGAATTAAGAATCTAAAGATGACCGTGAATCCATTGTTGATTGTCAGAAAAACGCAACTGGTTCACTAATGTCCTTTAGGGAAGGAAACTGCCATCCTTACCTGGTCTGGCCTACATGTGACTCCAGACCTACAGCAATGTGGTTGACTCTTAACTGCCCTCTGGGAAATTAGGGATGGATAATAAATGCTGCCTAGCGAGCAACGCCCTCAGCCCATGAATGAATAAAGAAAGATTCCAACTTTAAACTGGTCAACAAAACTTAGTTGGCTTAATGCAGGATTCTTTTCTGATACATAGATGCAGAAATGACATGGATTGGTAGTTGAGTATTGAAGGGTATAGGACATTTAGGAAGGACAGGGAGCTAGGAAAAGATGGATAGATGCTCTGTTAATTATTCATGGTATTAACACAAGAGAGACGGATGATTCAAGTTCAGGAAACCATAGACTGCAAAAATCAGAAGGGCAAAGGATACCAAAATAAGGAGTTCATAAACTGTTTTTTAGGATAGTTTCTTAGAACAGCACATTCTGGAGCTGACCAGAGAACTGGCTCGGTTAGATCTGCTACTGTGAATCAAGATAAGATTAAAGACCTCGCCGTAATCTCGTATTTGCACAAAGATGGGTAGCAGGTCAGAAGATTGGCCACCATATATAAAAAGCACAGCAAAGACTTCCTAAAAAAATTCATAAGGAGGGAAAAATTAGGATAAAATGGTTAAACTAAGAAGAAATATAAAAACAGAGCAAGAATTTTTAGAGACATTTAAAAAAAAAGCAAAAATTAGGTCCTATGGATTATTAGTCAGACATGAGAAAAGGCAGATGAATTGACCAGGAATTACACACCAGTCTTCATAAGACCACAAGGTATAGGAGCAGAATTAGGCCATTCAAATCATGGGATGGGGTTTCTCAACTCCATACTCCTGCCTTCTCCCTGCAACTCTTGATCCCCTTACCAATCAAGGACCTATCTATCCGTATCTTAAATACAGTGTCTTGGCTTCCATAGCCCTCTGTGGAAACGAGTTCCACAGATTCATCACACTCTGGCTGAAGGAGTTCCTCCTCATTTCAGAAGGGTCATCTCTTCCCACTGAGGCTATGCCCTCAGGTCCTAGTCTCTCCAACGAGCCAAAACATGCTCTCCACATCCACTCTATCCTCGCTTCTTAGTATTCTATAAGTTTCAATGAGATTTCTCCCTCATCCTTCTACTCCATTGAATATAGACCGCTCCTCATATGATAAGCCTCTACAGGATTACAAGAATGATCCTTGATTACTGCTACCAACCTGATTTTCCCAGTCCACTTACATACCTTTTCTATCTCCCGATTTATTTTCTTCCCAAGTCCTGACTACTGCTAGGAGGCCTGTATACAACTCCCATCAGGGAGATTTTCCCCTTTGCGGTTCCTGAACTTTGCCCACAGATTCTGTATTGCTTCTTGCTATCAATTTAACTTCATTTCTTACTAACAAAGCAACCCTGATCCCTCTGCCCATCTGCCTGTCCTTTCAATAGGACTGTACATCCTTAATTCTCGGATCGGATCCCCTTGTAGCCACGTCTGTGAGATATGCACTATGTCATTCCAATCAATTTCAATCTGCGCTACAAGCTCATTTACCTTGTTTCGTATACTGTGTGCATTCAAGTATAACACTCTCAGTTCTGCATTGACTGCCCCCTTCTCATAGTTGACCCCTTATCTGCTGTGCCTGAATTTAGATTCCTGAGTCTTTCCATATTGTAATTTTTGTCCAATTATTTGTGCTGAAAACTTTAATAACTTCTGCTGAGCTTTCCCTTCACTTTAACTTTTGCCATAATTTTCCAGTTAACTGAACCCACCCAGCCACTATTTAGTTTAGAGATATCTACAGCCCATGTTTTATGGTATTTAACAGGATTCTGGTCCCAGAATGATTTAGGTGGAGCCTGCCCATCACAACAGCTCCCTCTTTCCCCCGTACTGATGTTAATGCCCCATGAATTCTAGCCCATTTCTCCCACACCAATCTTTAAGTCATGCCTTTACTTCTTTAATGCTGTTTGTTGACCCTGTGCAAGCTTGCTCATGGCTCAGGGAGTAATCTGGAGATTACTACCTTTTTGCTTTTCAATTTAGTCCCTAGTTGCTCACAGTCTCTCTTTCTACCTATCTCATTGGTACCTATGAGGACCACAACAACTGGATGTTTCCCCTGCCACCCATTGTACAGGGTACAAATAGCATGGCAGAAGCAGCGCGCACGTGTGTGTGTGTGTGTGTGTGTGTGTGTGTGTGTGTGCGCGCGCGCACGCGCACTGTTTGGGCTGGGGGTGGGGGTGGGGGGGGATAAATTGGGCCTGAGGGAAGGTTGAACAGTGTAGGTTGTATCCACTTGAGTTTAGAAGGGAAAGAAGTGACGATTTAAAAAATACATCCTGTGGAGTCTTCACAGGGTAAATGCAGAAAGGATGTTTCCTCTTGAAGAATCTAAAGATGAGGGGTCATAGTTAAAAAGTAAGGAGTTACCCATTTAAGACAAAGATAAGGAGAATTCTTCTGTCAGAGAGTCATTAGTTATTGAATTCTCTCTCAAAATGTGGTGGATGTAGAGTCTAAATATTTAAGGCAGAGGTAGATCCATTAATCAGCAGGTAATCATGTTATTAAATCGGGGATCAGGTAACATACTCCTAAGTTGTATGGATACATTTTCCATGATTCTAAACTTTGCAGACTCTTTGCACAATTATATCACTAAATTAACAGATTCTATTACAGCACCTTTAAGCTGTTGTTTGAGGCAGGGGAGGTGAAAGAGTGGTGGCTAGACTAAAATCCAGAGAAAAGACTTTAAATCTCTTGACAGCAATTTGATTGTTTTCAATCAAAATTGAAATTTTGTAAAAAAGAAAGTCCAACACATTCACTACTCTCCTTTTGGGGAGAAAAACCTGCTGCAGTACTACTTGTCTTCATTCCTAAATAAATGTAATTGGTATTTAAACTGGTTTTTGAAATAACCTATCATACTGTTCAGGCATCCCAGCATCTCTCTGAAAAAGTTAGGAATAGACAAAGGTCACAATTAAGACTAAGCAAGATATTTATTGCTGTTTGTAATGCAGCACAGGGGGAGGTGATGGTCTAATGATATTGTCACTCCGTTAACTCCAAATCCCATTGGCTTCACTAATGTCCTTTAGGGAAGGAAACTGCCATCCTTAACTAGTCTGGCCGACATATGACTCTAAACCCAGCCACGTGGTTGACTCAATTGCCCTATAAGATCATAAGACATTGAAGCAGAAATTAGGCCATTCAGCCCAGCAAGTCTGCTCCGCCATTCAATCATGGCTGATGAGTTCCTGAATCCCATTCTCCCACTTTCTCCCTATAACCCTTAATCTCCTTGACAATCAAGAAAATATCTCCGTCTTAAATATACTCCGTGTCCTGGCCTCCACAGCCTTCTGTGGCAGTGAATTCCACAGATTCACCACTCTCTGGCTAAAGAAGTTTCTCCTTATCTCCGTTCTAAAAGGTCTTTTCTTTACTCGAAGGCTGTGTCCTCGGGTCCTAGTCTCTCCTAGGAGTGGAAACATCCTCCCAACATCCATTCTGTCCAGGCCATTCAGTATTCTCTAAGTTTCAATTAGATAGCCCCTCATCCTTCTAAACTCCATTGAGTATAGTCCCCTCTGGGCAATTAGGGATGGACAGTAAATGCTGGCCTAGCCAACAATGCCCTCATCCTATGAATGAATAAATAAAGCATCAAGCCATCATGACAGATGTTCAGGGTGATCTGGCGTCCCTTGTTGATCCAACACCTGTACAGGTACTGGACTACCGAATAAAGGTAAGATGGCAGCTAGTGTAATGTCAGTGATCTGGTAAACCACGAGCAGGTTATGACTTAGGGACATGAGTTCAAGTCTAACCAAATCAGCAGGTGGAGTTTAAATTTAAATAATGAATCTGGAACTTAAATCTTGTCAAGTCATGGTGACCAATGAAGTTTTCATGAATTGTTGTAATGAACTAGGAAGGTTTTTAATGCCCTTTGGGGAAGGAAATCTGTCAGCCTTATTTGGTCTGATCTAGATGTGATTCCAGACCTGCAGCAATGTGGTTGGCTCTTATCCATCCTTTGAAATGGCCTAGCAAGCCACTCAGTACAACAGCAGTCAATGGTGGACAACAAAAAGAATGTAAACACAAATCACAAATGTTCTTACTAATAAATACTTTGCTGATAAGAATCGCCCAATAATACCCAGTTGTTTCCAGTTTCAAGTGTCTTGTGCAATCTGTAAGCCAATTCAAGGTCTTTCAAATCCAAACACTGCAAGGAAGGAAAAAAAATTGTAAAATTGTATGACACACTTAGTAACATTTAAATCTACCTCACTAAATCAACAATTCTTTATACAACGTTTGCTAAAAATTAAGGAACTTGACAAGGCTGCTTACACACAACCATTTTCTCATCATTTAATGCATTTTCAGATTTGGCACAACTGTCCTAGAGTCAGACAGCATGGAAACAGACCCTCCCGCCTGACTCTTCCATGCCAACCTGGTTTCCTGAACTGAAGTAGTCTAATTTGCCTGCATTTGGCCCAAATCCCTTCTAAACCGTTCCTATCCATGTACCTGTCCAAATGTCTTTAAAATGTGTTAATTGGACTCACTTTTACCACGTGCTCTAGCAGTTCATTCCATATACGCACCACCCTCTGTATGAATATGTTGCCCCTCAGGTCCCCTCTAAACCTTTCTCTCCTCTTAAATCTATGCTCTCTACCTATGGGGCAATAAGGTGGTTCAGTGTTTAGCACTGCTGCCTCAAAGCACCTGTGTTCGATTCTACCCTCAGGCAACTGTCTTGGTGGAGTTTCCATGCTTCCCCCTGTCTGTGTGGGTTTCCTCTTGGTACTCTGGTTTCCTCCCACAGTCCAAAGATGCGCGGGTTAGGTGGACTGGCCGTGGGAAATGCAGGGTTACAGGGATAGGGTGGGGGGTGCTGTTAGGGTGAGATGCTGCTCGGATGGTCAGTGCCGATTTGATGGGCTGAATGGACGGCTTGCTTCCACATTGCAGGGATTCTATGGATTTAGTTTTGGACTCCCCTACGCTGGGGGAAAAGAAAGACCTTAGTTATTCATCAAGATTTTATAAACCTCTATAAAGCCATCCCTCAACCTCCTACACTCCAGGGAAAAAACGTCTAAGCCTATCCAGCCTCTCCCAATTCTTCAAACCTTTCAGTCTCAATAAGATGCTTGCAAATCTTTTCTGCACCCTTTCCAATGTAAGGACATCCTTCCTGTAGTAGGGTGACCAGAATTGTATGCAGTGCTCCAAATGTGGCCTGATCAATGCCTTGTAAAGCTGTAACATGATGTCCCATCTCCTGTATTCAATGCTCCGACTGATGAAGGCAGGCGTGCCAAATGCCTTCTTCACCAGCCTGTCTACCTGGGTGAGAGACAGTAGGGTACTTTTTAAACAAGTTAAAATAACAGTCACATACAGCAGTGACAGCATTTTCAAGGAATTATGTATCTGCATCCCGAGATCACACAACTCCCCAGGGCCCTAACATTTATTGTGCAAGTCCTGTCTGGTTCATGTTACTAATTGTCCAACTTATACACTCACCATTCTCATCACCTGAAAATACACACTAAGTCCCAGCCTTTTGAGACTTGAATGCGAAACAGAGCCAACTTCTCTCCCTCAGCTAAATCCATACATACTGCCACTAGATGGCAGTGTGTCCCACAGGCCACCTCCGAGCATGATCGGATTCTTCAATGGAAATTTAAGTCTTATAGAACATAGAACATAGAACATTACAGCGCAGTACAGGCCCTTCGGCCCTCGATGTTGCGCCGACCTGTGAAACCAATCTGAAGCCCATCTAACCTAAACTATTCCATTATCATCCATATGTTTATCCAATGACCATTTAAATGCCCTTAAAGTTGGCAAGTCCACTATTGTTGCAGGCAGGGCATTCCACGCTGAGTAAAGAACCTACCTCTGGACATCTGTCCTCTATCTATCACCCCACAATTTAAAGCTATGTCCCCTCGTGCGAGCCATCACCATCCGAGGAAAACGGCTCTCGCTGTCCACCCTATCTAATCCTCTGATCATCTTGTATGTCTCTATCAAGTCACCTCTTAACCTTCTTCTCTCTAACGAAAACAGCCTCAAGACCCTCAGCCTTTCCTCACAAGACCTTCCCTCCATACCAGGCAACATCCTGGTAAATCTCCTCTGCACCCTTTCCAATGCTTCCACATCCTTCCTATAATGCGGCGACCAGAACTGTACGCAATACGCCAAGTGCGGCCGCACCAGAGTTTTGTACAGCTGCAACATGACCTTATGGCTCCGAAACTCAATCCCTCTACCAATAAAACCTAACACACCATATGCCTTCTTAACAACCCTATCAACCTGGGTGGCAACTTTCAGTGATCTATGCACATGGACACCGAGATCTCTCTGCTCACCCACACTACCAAGAATCTTACCATTAGCCCAGTACTCTGTATTCCTGTTACTCCTTCCAAAGTGAATCACCTCACACTTTTCCGCATTAAACTCCATTTGCCACCTCTCAGCCCAGCTCTGCAGCTTATCTATGTCCCTCTGTAACCTGCAACATCCTTCTGCACTACCCACAACTCCACCGACTTTGGTGTCATCCGCAAATTTACTAACCCATCCTTCTACGCCCTCATCCAGGTCATTTATAAAAATGACAAATAGCAGTGGCCCCAAAACAGATCCTTGCGGTACACCACTAGTAACTGAACTCCAGGATGAACATTTCCCATCAACTACCACCCTCTGTCTTCTTACAGTTAGCCAATTTCTGATCCAAACCGCTAAATCACCCTCAATCCCATGCCTCCGTATTTTCTGCAATAGCCTACCGTGGGGAACCTTATCAAATGCTTTACTGAAATCCATATACACCACATCAACCACTTTACCCTCATCCACCTGTTTGGTCACCTTCTCAAAGAACTCAAAGGTTTGTGAGGCACGACCTACCCTTCACAAAACCGTGTTGACTATCCCTAATCAAATGATTCCTTTCTGGATAATTATAAATCCTACTTCTTATAATCCTTTCCAACACTTTACCCACAACCGAAGTAAGGCTCACTGGTCTATAATTACCAGGGTTGTCTCTACTCCCCTTCTTGAACAAGGGGACAACATTTGCTATCCTCCAGTCTTCTGGCACTATTCCTGTAGATAATGACGACATAAAGATCAAAGCCAAAGGCTCTGCAATCTCCTCCCTAGCTTCCCAGGGAATCCTCGGATAAATCCCATCCGGCCCAGGGGACTTATCTATTTTCACACTTTCCAGAATTGCTAACACCTCCTCCTTATGAACCTCAATCCCGTCTAGTCTAATAGCCTGTATCTCAGTACTCTCCTTGACAACATTGTCTTTTTCCTGTGTGAATACTGACGAAAAATATTCATTTAGCGCCTCTCCTATCTCTTCGGACTCCACGCACAACTTCCCACTACTGTCCTTGACCGGCCCTAATCTTACTCTAGTCATTCTTTCATTCCTGACATACCTATAGAAAGCTTTAGGGTTTTCTTTGATCCTACCTGCTAAAGACTTCTCATGTCCCCTTCTGGCTCTTCTTAGCTCTCTCTTTAGGTCCTTCCTGGCTAACTTGTAACTCTCAAGCGCCCTAACTGAGCCTTCACGCCTCATCTCTACATAAGCCTCCTTCTTCCTCTTGACAAGAGATTCAACTTCTTTAGTAAACCACGGTTCCCTCGCTCGACCACTTCCTCCCTGCCTGACAGGTACATACTTCTCAAGGACACACAGTAGCTGTTCCTTGAACAAGCTCCACATTTCAATTGTGCCCAGCCCCTGCAGTTTCCTTCTCCATCCTATGCATCCTAAATCTTGCCTAATCGCCTCACAATTGCCTTTCCCCCAGCTATAAACTCTTGCCCTGCGGTATATACCTATCCCTTTCCATCTCTAAAGTAAACGTAACTGAATTGTGGTCACTATCACCAAAGTGCTCACCTACCTCCAAATCTAACACCTGGCCTGGTTCATTACCCAGTACCAAATCCAATGTGGCCTCGCCTCTTGTTGGCCTATCTATATACTGTGTCAGGAAACCCTCCTGTACACATTGGACAAAAACTGACCCATCTAAAGTACTCAAACTATAACGTTTCCAGTCAATATTTGGAAAGTTAAAGTCCCCGATAACAACTACCCTGTTACTTTCGCTCCTATCCAGAATCATCTTTGCAACCCTCCCTCTACATCTCTGGATCTTTTTGGAGGCCTATAGAAAACTCCCAACAGGGTGACCTCTCCTTTCCTGTTTCTAACCTCAGCCCATACTACCTCAGTAGACAAGTCCTCATCAAACGTCCTTTCTGCCACCGTAATACTGATAACTAGTTCTCCCAGTTCAGGTCTACACAATCTTTCGTTCACACTTGCTTCCTTCACTTCAATGCCCAAATATTTTTCTATTCAACAGATTTAGCTTCCTCAGACTCAAGTAAATGATGTAAAAAACGGAAAGAACTGCAGATACTGTCAATCAGGAACTAAAACAGAAGTTGCTGGAAAAGCTTAGGTCTAGCAGCATCTGTGAAGAAAACAAAAATCTGTTTCGGGTCTGGTGACCCTTCCACAGAACAGAAACAGAAGTTCTGAGAAAAGGTCACCGGGCCTGAAAAGTTAACTCTGATTTTTCCCTTCACAGATGCTGCCAGACCTGCTGAGCTTTCCAGCAACTTCTGTTTTTGTTCAAGTAATGATATCTATTGTCCTTTGTTAACCTCTTCACAGCTTTCTGTATTACTTCCATTGTTTGCAATAATCTACAAGCTGACTCAACGCTTTGTCAAGTATTTAAGGCTTGAACTCCACAGACATTTCTACAACCCAATACGGGTCAATTTCCATATTGTGTAATATTTGAGCCAGCTATAAAACTTCATGTTTTCCAGCAGCTATGAAGTATATATTAATGACAACTACAGTACACAAATGTGCGCATATGCAGGCAAGAACTTGGATTATTTGGGCTATTTTGGGGTTTGTGGCAGGATTTGATAGTTGGAGGGGGAGGGGGCAGAAAAACAATTTACAAGAATGGTTGCCGGAATGAGAAACTTCAGATATGAGAATAGATTGAAGTTAGGACTGCTCTCCTCTTGGCCTCTCTCCCAGGAGTTTGACAGAGGTTTTCAACATCATGAGGGGGATGGATACAGAAGATAGGGAGAAGCCTTCCCACTCAAAAAAAAATGAAAGGACACAGATTAACAGTGATGTGCAAAACCAAGCAAGGGTGATAAGAGTAAAAAATGTTTGCACTCAGCACGCAGTTAGGGTGTGGAATACACTGCCTTAAAATATGGTGTAGGCAGGTTTAAGTGAGGCATTTGGGTGGAAATAGCATTTAGGGATATGGGAAAAGGCATCTGATAATAGAACAGGGCAGGCACAATCAGCCTCTTTCTGCAGCATAATGATACTGTGATTCCAACTACTTTTCCACTTTGAAAAGCTTCTAAAACTGAAACACTTTAAATGCCAGTTGTATTTAGCTTTAAATCTGGTTACACAAAGTCAGAGGACCGTTGGAAAGGTGCAGCAGTCAATCACCAGAGCCAGTTGCTTGAAAAGCTCAGCAGGTCTGGCAGCATCTGTGAAGAAAATATCAGAGTTTCTGGTTTAAGTTTAAGTTTCTGGTCTGGATAGCCTGTTCTGAGGAAGGGTTACCAGACCAGAAACGTTAACTCTGATTTTTTTCTTCACAGACGCTGCCAGCTTTTCCAGCAACTTCTGTTTTTGCACCAGCGCCACATTTACTGGAAAGGAATTGTTCCAACTCAGACACACCTCACCATCTCCGCTCAGATAACATCACCATTCCATGGGTTTATGAGAGATAGTAGGGTACTTTTTAAAAATAACAGTTAATATAATAATCACACAGACACTAGTGTGCATCATTGATACTGAAAAGAAGTGGAAGTAGAAACAGTTGCTTCATTCATGCAAGGATAAATGTGTCAGAAAGAGTGAAATACTTACCAGCCTCATAGCACTGATAAAGAAGTTCACTGTGGGGAAAGGAAATGAGACCAGTTAATGCATTATTGTTAAGAGTGTTAGTACAGGAAGGAATGCTGTTCAGACCTCAGTAAGGGATCTTTCTGCACCCATTGGTTTAAATGTTTCATCCACAATGCAGGACGACCAATTTACTAAGGCTCAAAATCACAACCTTCTTATTGTCAGACAAGCCAAGCTGTTACTTCTGCAACATTCCTGGTTTAATTTGCTTTATATAAATACACCTCAACACAATGACACGAAGATTATTTTTGATAGCCAATAATTTTGCGACTATGGACCGATAGCTTTTCACCTAATGGCAATGCTATTACAGTTTTGCCTCAATTTTGTCTGCATTAATAACCTGGCCAGTACTTATTGCATCTACTTCAAATAAACTATCCCCTCCACACCCCTTCTTAGAGATCCATGGCACATTTTAATTAAAACCAGCTGCAGTTTCCTACGTTTAACCATCATCCCTACAAATTCATTACTGCAAAATCCTCATTTCACCTATTATTCACTCTTGCAATCTTCATGTTTTGAATGCGCGGTTGACAAAACTTGGAAATGCTGTGAATGGTGAGGAGGATATACATGGGCTTCAAAAAGACAGACCAAATAGTGGATAAAATTTAATGCAGACAATTGCGAAGTTCTCCCTCCTGTAATGGACTCTAAAGAGAAACCATATACAATAAAGGGTACAGGAGTAGGAGGGCCTGGGAGGTACATGTGCACAAATCATGTGAGGGAGCAGGGTAGGTAAAGAAAACAGTTAAAAGGCATCAGGGACACAGACTCAAAACAGTAGCATGGAGTACAAAAGCAAGGAAATTATGAAGAATGCATATAACACACTGGTTCAGCCTCAACTGGAATGTTGTGTCCCCAGTTCTGGGCACCAAGAGTGTGCAGAAAAGATTCACAACAACGGCTTCAAAGATAAGGAACTTCAGTTATGTGGACATGGTGGAGAGGTTCAGAGAATGTGGATGTCACTGGCTGGGCCATCTATTACTGCCTATCCTTAACTGCCCTGGAGAAGGTTGGTATTGAGCTACAACTGCTGCAGTTTGTTGTAGGCTGACCCACACTGAATTAATGCAATTCATTGAGGCATATAACACGCAGAGATTGACCCCCATCAAATATGACCAATGCATAAATCCCAAAAAAGGTATCATTGAATTTAAAAAGGACACAGATGGTCCACACAGATTTGCAAGTCCCAACACCACTAACAGAGACCAGATTTTATGATACTGCGTTTAAAACAAAAAGCTGGATGAGTGCAGAACAGCAAGAAAGACAAAAATCCTTTAAGGTTGACCAAGAAGATAGTTAGCCTGAAATGTGGTTTGCCACTTGATTCAATCTGTCAGTAATTCAGAAACAAACCAGATGTCAAAAATAAAATGACAATGGAAGAATTCAGGAGACTTACTAAGAAAAATAATAAGTCTTTACTATTTCATTGACTTTAGTTCAACCACAGGATGTACTACTGTTGTTTATTGTATTCACATACCATCATCAGGATCCCGGGCCTCAAAATGCTTCCCCTCTATTTCATCAAGCACCTCAAAGATGATGTCAGTGTGCGGTCGGGTAACTGCGCCTGGGAGGTAAAAAGGGAAATTGTTAGCACACTGGAGGGGAAGTCTGGTCATCATTAAAATGCAATAAAAACACACCACAAATTGTGGCATCCCCAGATCTGCAATGAAAGTAAATGCCAAACTGCAAGTGAATTTGTGAAGAAACACCAGGCGAGAATCAGGAACGTGAACATGCGACAGATCGGAATGGAATGGCACTGTAGAGTAAATGATTTTCATTTATATTCGTGATTAAACATCAGCTCGGATGTCACAGCAATGATAGGTTTCCTTTTCAAACACTGTGTGGTTTGAGGTATTTTGCTCTCAGCCTGCATGATTGTGTGAAACTGCGAGGCCACTTCACATCTAACACCTTTTAAAAAGCACAGCAGCAGTGGCTCAGGCATAGGCGACTTTTTATTGTGTAGGTGCTACTTAAAGCCCACCACATGCAGGCTGAAGAGACAACACCCACACTCAGCTCCCATTATCCAGCTGAGGTCTGTACCCCTGCGCCACTCATCACTGCCAAGCTGCTCCACATGTTCACCAATGATACACAGCAGTCAATTCATGATTTCTCCAGATAAAGATTAGAGTAGAGGATTATTACATAAAATTTATTATCGAGAAGGATCAGTTCCAGCTCAGTTGTGATTAACGAGAGCAATCGTGTTCATTCTGGGCACTATTTGGGGCATCAGTACATTCTGATGCTGCCTTTATTACTTAGGATGCTAAAAGGGATCAATTCTGACTATTTTTGTTTCATGGGATGGGGGCATTGCTGGCAAGGCCAGTATTTGTTACTCATTCGAGATTTGTACCCGAGACACATGTAAGTTGGTACAGGGTACATTTAAGTAGAGATGAATATGTGGCACTCTAGTATTGGGAAAATGAAACTGGCTGTACCATTGGGAAGATCAACACCTGAACCATGTTAAGTAGTGTTCTTGCAAACTGCATAATTAGGGAAGTAGAGAGATTTTTTAAACTCAATATTGGAGGAAAGGGCTCAAATGTGGAAAGATGTGACATATCAAAAAGGAAAACAGTAATATAGGAAATGAGGGGCAGAGAGAAAATCAAGAAGAATGCACCGACAAGATTAAAATGGTACAACGATAACAAAGACAAAATGAAAGACTCTGCATCTGAATGCACAGGCCGTTCATAAATTAATTGACAGCACACATTGAAGTAAATAAATGTGATCTGACAGCCAGTATGGAAACATAGCTTCAGGATGGCAAGGACTGGATCTGAATATTGAAGAGTTATATGACATTTACAGTGAATAGGAAGCTAGGTAAAAGTGGAGGCATAGCACTGTAAAACAAGGATAATATTTGCACAATAGCTTGAGACTACGTTGTTTCAGGAGATCAGGATGCAGAATCAATTTAAGTGGAGGTGGGTAATAGAAGTAGTAACAGACCATTAGTCTACAGGCACCCCCCCACACCCCCCCAACAGTACAATGTAGGTCAAAACATAAAAGAATAAATATTGGGTACTTGTTTAAAATTGCCCTTTTACCTTAAACCCACATTCCCTCGTAACTGACGTTTCTATTCTGGGGAAAAAAAGGCTACTCATTCTATCCATGCCTCTCAATTTTGTAAACTATCAGATTGGCCCTCAATCTTTGACACTCAAATGAACACAAACCAAGTTTGTCCAATCTCTCCTCATAACCTAATACCCTCTAATGCAGGCAACAACCTGGTAAGCCTTTTCTGTACCCTCTCCAATGCCTCCACCCTCTTGGCAAAAGGGTGTTAGGAATGCACTGTCAGAGGTGGTGGTAGAAGCAGGAACAATAGTAATGTTTAAGATGCGTCACGACAGATGCATGAATAGACAGGGAACAGACGGATATGAATTCGTAGAGGAAAACATTTATTAGTTTAGAAAGACATCACGTGTCAGTGCAGGTTTAGTGGACCACTGGGCCTGATCCTGTGTACCGTTCTTTGGGTAAATTGATGGCAATAATCATGACTGATTTAAATCTACATAATCAGATTGGTGATAGTAGCCTTGATGAATTGTTCACAGCATCTTACTGCAGCATCTTTTGGAACCCACCAGAAAGTATCAAACTTAAGGAAAAAACATAACTGCAAAGACGAACGTCAAGTCAAATGACTGGGCAAGGACCAAAAAATGTCTAGAAGGTTAATCAAGGGGAAGAAACAAGAGTATAACAGAAAGCTAATTAGAAATGTGAAAAAGCATATTACAGCAAGAGTTTCTACAATGTCTAAAAAGGAGAAGAGCGTAAAGTGAGCATTGGTGCTCTAGAGCGAGAGTATGAGGATTTAATAGCAGATAATAATAAAATGACAGATGAAATGAACGAACGTTTTGCTTTTGTCTTCATTATGGAGTATACAAAAAAAATCCCAGCAATAGCTGTAAATCAGATGGAAGGAGAAGAGAAACTTAGTGAAATTACAAACACAACACACTAAGCAACTTGATCAAACTATGGGCTGGCCGATCTCTGGATCCAGATGACTTCATCCTAGGTGTTGGATATTGAGGTCCCTTAAAAACTGAATTTTCCTAGTATTTACCGTCTAGCACGAGATTTCATTTAACAGTTATTGTCCCAATAAATAACTTTTCAAACTATTATCATGGGAAAACAAAAGGGGAGAATTACAAAAGAGAGGGGTCACGATGTGCATTTAATTGGCATCAATTCATCTGATGCCAAATACACCTTATTATCAATGTATGTTTTCTAAAATAGTTTTCTTCTTAGAAGGAATGAAAACTAACCCATGAAGGTGGGCAATGGGACAACATCCATCTAAGAGTGGCAAGATGGGTGACTGATATAACATCAACGTCTAGCCCCCAGAACAGGGATAGGAGGGAAGGGACAAAATGATCCAGGGGGACAAGCCAAATTATCTCCCTGGGGAAACCGTAGTGCAGGACAGGAACAGGCCCTTTGGCCCACCACTGTGCCAACACATGACGCCTTTTCCAAACTGAACAATTTTTGCTTCTATACGGTCCGTATCCCTCTATTCCCTGCCTACTCATTTATCTGTCGAGATGCCTCTTAAACATTGCTATTGTATCCGCCTCCAATGGCAGCCAATTCCAAGCACTTAGCACGCTCAGTACAAAAAAAAACCTTGCCTCTTGCATCTCCTTTAAACTTACTCCCTTTTACCTTAAAACCCATGTCCCTTAGTAATTGACATTTCTACCCTGGGAAAAATGATTCCAACTATCCATTCTTTTCATGCTCCTAATAATTTTGTAAACTATCAGGTTGCCCCTCAACCTTCGAGTGAAAACAAATTGAGTTCATTTAATCTCTCCTCATACCCTCCAAACTTGGCAACATTCTGGTGACCATTTCTGTGCCCTCTCCAAAGCCACCATATTGTTCTGGTAGTGTAATGTCCAGAATTGTACACAATATTTCAAGTGTGGCTTAACTAAAGGTTCTATACAGCTGTAACATGACTGGACAATTTTTATACTCTATGCCCTGACCAATGAAGGCAAGCATGCCATATGTCTTCTTGACCACCTTAATCATTTGTATTGCCACTCTCAGGGGACCGTGGACCTGGTGGCAGAGGTGAACCAGAATCTTAAATTCTGAACAGGTTTTGATATGTTGCATACAAAGATTATTTCCTCTTGTGGAGAAGAGATTAACTAGAAGCCAAAGTTCTAAGATAGTTCACAAGAAACTATAGAGTAAGTTGAGAAGAAACTTATTTTCTTGAGAGAATTAGAATTAGGTTTTATTGTCATTTGTACTCAAGTGCAGGAGTATAGTGAAAAGTGTATGAAGTTGCTACTCTCCAGTGTCATCTTAGATAAAAGGTACCTTGGTACAAAATCTTAGATATAAAGTAGAAAATAAAGTTAGATGTTTAGCATTACAATCCTTAAATGCTTAGCCTTGGTCCTGGATCTGGGTTCTTCCACCCATTGCTAAGACCATCACCGGCCCATGTACCCTCGCTGCGTTGCCACTGCAAAAATTGTTGCACCATTCTTCAGTGCCATCTTACATCTATTGATGACAACGTCACCATGAGACTGCACTGGGCGGATCTTGGCAACACAGCTACCACTGAAGGTGCCAGGCATTCTCCACAGAAGGCAAGTACGGTTAAAGTAAAAAGAAAGCAGGGAAAGAGAAAAGAAAGTAAAGGCAGATGGATCCGCACTGGGCTTCGTCTCATCGTCACTGATGCCATCTGTGGACAAGAGGCAGGTACAAAGGAAAAATAAAAAAAGAGAAAAAGCAAGAAAAGAAACGGACAGAGCGGACAAGCTCCAGCTCAGGAGCCTTACTCCGCTGACATCTTGAACGTAATGAGAGTGCATGGTACCTGCTATCACAGCAGGTGAAGTGAACAGAATAGATGCTAGACAGGCACATGGGGGAGTGGGCGGGTGGTGTATGAAGGGAATCGAATAACAATGATAGATTTGGACAAGGCAAGATGGGAAGAGGTTTGTGGAGCATATTAATACTGACGTGAACTGATTAGACTGAATGGCCTGTTTTGTCCACATCATGGCAGATGGGATATTCTCGGTCCCAGGTACAAAAGTACGAGGATAGCCATAAGGCATACAATAGACAATCCAGGAGACATGACTTTTCTTTTGGACACAAGAAAGGGAAACCTCCTGTTGAAAAATGTGACACTATAAATAGAAACCACACCAAGAAAACCAAAAAAAAAAAGACTCATCCAGCCCATCTTTCTGGATTCCACATGAATTTCAAATTTTAGATTATACTTGTGTTTACTTACCAGGTTTATAGAATATAGCAAGTAGATGATCAAAGGTAGCCAAACTTGGTTCTAAAAAAAAGAGAATTTTTGAAAAAGCACATATTAGAACTCATGTGCACTGATATATGTTTGACATTTGGAGAATATCAGACCAGGACTGAAGGCACCCTGATGTGCTAAAACCTTCAGCTAAATTACACAGACAAACTAAGCCACCAAAACAACTCTCAGCGAATTCAACAGTATTCATGTTAACAAATTTAGGGTTGCCTTTCTTTTAAGTCACACTTAAAATTGGTAAAGCCCTGGCTCAGATCTAGGCGACTTTCTCGTGTAGATGCTTCCCAAACAACTTGCCACATGCAAACTGAGCGAGAAACACCCACACTCAGCTCCCATTATTCAGCTGAGGTCCGTACCCCTGCGCCAATCATCATTGCCAGCAGCCTGATCTGCTTATCTCACACACATATGCCTGGAAAAGAAAATTACTGATTGCCTACAAAAATGCAACTCCTGTTGACAATATTAGAGCACATTTTCCCTCATCCTAAATTCCTACTTGAACCAACATTTATAATGCAACTGCGTCTTTGTTCCTTTATTCTTTCCTAGGATGTGGTTATCATTATGAGGTCAGCATTTGTTGCCCATCTCCAATTGTCCTTGAATTAAGTACTGTGCAAGGCCATTTCAGAGGACAGCCTCTAATCAAGCCTAGAATGTCGAGAATCACGTGTAGGACATGAGCAAACCAAACAAATTTTTATAAAAAATTGAAGATAGTTCGTAATGGTGGCCATGAAACAAACTCTCAATTCCAGATTTGTTCAGTGAATTGAATTTAAATTCCAGCACATGCCTTGGTGAGATTTAAGCCTATATGCCCAGTGCACTAGCATTGGCCTCTGCATTACTAATCCAGTGACATTACCACAATGACACATTTTCCTGTAATGTAATTAAACATGTCCACCAGTGGTGTTGCTTCAGTGCTCAGTTGTATCTCTCCATTCATTACAAACTGCAGAGGGATAGAGAGAGTCAGATTCTCCCTCCAACTTTCATGACTTGGTTCTTCAAGCTACTGCAAGTTGAGTTTATGTTGTTAAATTGATATTAAAAAAAGGTCCAACTTGGCACTAAATTACACCCCTGTTCCTTAATCCAATTCTACTCTGCCCCGTCACCCTATTTCACCTTAAGATCGTGATGTCTGCTATGGGAATTCAACTACGACAAGTATTTATGAATCTTGGCTTATGCTAATTGAAAATAAAAAACAAATTGGTGGAAAAACTCGGCAGATTTGGCAGCATCTGTGGAGAGAAATCAGAGTTAACGTTTCAGATCCAGTGACCCTTCTTCAGGGCTAAAGGCAACTAGAAAAAAGTTGGTTTTTATGCAGAAGGTTTAGGAGGGGGTAAAGAGTGAAAGGTAAGTGGAGATAGAGCCCAAAAAGAGAACCAGTTCGGCAAAGGAATGGATAACGATCAGCCTAGGAGAATGAATAGCCACCAATGGGGACTATTAGTGGCTAACAATGGGTTGTGTGCGTCATAACAGACTACGTGATAACAAGGCCTGCTGCGTGAGGGTTGGGATAGGGACACAGGAGAGGGTGCTCAGGCCCTAAAATTGTTGAACTCAATATGAAGGCCCAGAAGGCTGTAGAGTTCCCAAGTGGAAAATTAGGTGCATTCTGCCAGCTGGTGCGGATCTTCACTGGAGCACTGCAGCAAGCCTGATAGAGATGTTGCCAGGGAACAATGGTGTGTTGAAGTGGTAGGCAAAGGGAGGGTCAGGATTTCTTTGCAGACAGGACACAGGTATTCTGTGAAGTAGTCACCTAGAGTATGCTTTCTTCCCCCAATGTAGAGGAGACCACATTGTGAGCAGCAAATACAGTAGACTAGACTGAGTGGTGCAGGTACAGTGCTGCTTCACCTGGAAGGTACGTTTGGGCCCTTGGATACTGAGGAGGGAGGAAGTAAACGGACAGGTGTTACACCTTCTGTGGTTGCAGGGGAAGGTGCTGTGGGAGAGGGTGTTAGGAGAGAATGAGGAGTGGACCAGGATGTCCCAAAGGGAATGGCCCTTGAGGAAGGCTGACAAGGGAGGGCAGGGGAATGTGTGTCTGGTAGCAGCATCTCACTGGAGGTGGTGGAAATGACAGCTAATGATCCTTTGGATGTGCATGCTGGTGGGATGGTAAGTGAGGATAAAGGGGACCCTATCACTGTTAGGTGAGGGGAGAGAGGGAGTGAGGGCTGAAGTGCGGGAGATGGGTCGGACCTGGCTGAGGGTCCTGTCAGCAACAGTGCTGGGGAATCCTAGGTTGAGGAAGAAGGTGGACATATCAGAGGCCCCCTTGTCAATGTTGGTCATCCTAACTGAGTGTACACCCTTGGAGACTGGAAATACTCCTGGCGTCCAGAAAAGAAATTCACAAAGGGGGCAGTGATTTACTTTGTGATGCAGCTCAGCTGGTTGCACACCTCATTCTGCCCTTACGCACACCACAATGCACTTCCCTGAAACGTGAAAAATGTGATTGAGTTGCGACAGTTTTTTCTTCTTTTTCACTTCCACCTTTCCCAGGCTATCAGCCTTAGTGTGTGAAATTATTACTAAACTCGCAGCCCAGCTTGACCCTGTTAATATCCACACCCACAAACAGCAACAAACAGCTGGGATAGAAGCTGATTCTCTCTCTCTCCAGCTTCAGGGAAGTGTGGGCCTGCAATGCATTGTGGTGCAATGGCAGTTGAGATAAAGTTATAGACCAGAGCTCTTTGAAATTTTTAATTTCTGCATTATGAGTATTGATGCCAAGGCCAGCATTTATTGCCTAACTATAGTTGTGCACAAGAAAGGGACACTAACATAGTGTAGATACACAACAGCACTGTTAGGAGGAGATTGGACCCAGAAAGAGTCAAGGAACAGCATTAATAATTCCAAGTCATGATTTGGAGGGTGTATGATTCGGAGGGGAGCTTGAAGATAATGTTCATGCATTTATTGCCCTTATCCTTTGGGGTGATAGAGATTGTGGGTTTGGAAGGTGCTGTTAAAGGAGCTTTTATGAATTAGTCTAAGAATGTGACCTTGTGACTGTGGGGAAATGGTCATATGGCTAATTGGTCACGCGGTAAAGATAGGGTTTTCTTTTTGACAATTATAATTAACATCGGCATTATCAATTTGCCAAAAGTTGTACTTATTGGTTACAGGAATATAAGAAAAAAGGAAAATGGTCATACCTATATTTAGATATTTCATTTCATTAAGTATTTGGATGGAAAGTCCTTTTGCGATTGAACCACACTTTCGGAGACTCTTCATTGCAGAATTAAAAGTTAACAAGTTTGGCTGCACCTTTTGTTCAGCCATTTGCTTCAGCAGCTCCTGTTTTCAAAAGAAATGAAAAGTTCATTAAATGAATATCAATAAGAATCCAGGTCTCATAACAACTCAGGACTCAAGATTTTCAGAGCAACACAAGGGTGAACATCTGGAAAGGAAAGAATTGCAGGTTGCAGGGAATGAATGATAGAGTATCATTAATTGGATAATAGGATCAATGAGTGTCATTGCAGATCAAATGGACTTCATGCTTTTACGACAAGTTTTTGCTGGTGATGCTTACATTCCAAAACGAGTGAAAATAAAATTATGTGGATACAAAATCGGTTGAGTGATAGAAAACACAGTAATGGTCAATGGATATTTTTCAACCTGGTTGAAGATTTATAGTGGGGTTGCCCGGGAATCAGTACTGGGGCTCTTGCATTTCCTGATTCATATAATGATCTAGACTTGGGGCTCAGGGGACAATTTCAACATTTGCAGATGATACAAAGCTTGGAAGCACTATAAACTGAGGAGAACAGTGTGGAACTCCAAAATGGCAGTCAAGTTGGAGTGGGTGGATGGGTGGCAGATAAAGTTCAACATGGAAGTGTGAGGTGAGACATTTTGGTAGCAAGAACGTGGAGAGACAATATATATAGGGTGTGTATGAGAAGAGGAATCTATACATATGCACAGGTCAGAAGGCAGCAGGCGAAGTTGAAGGCTGCTAATAAAGCACAGTGTCCTCAGGTTATTAACAGGGTCATAGATTACAAAAGCAAGTACCCCATACAAGAGATAGTAGGAACTGCAGATGCTGGAGAATCCGAGACAACAAGGTGCAGGGCTGGATGAACACAGCAGGCCAAGCAGCATCATAGGAGCAGAGAGGCTGACGTTTCGGGCCTAGACCCTTCATCAGAAAAGGGGGAGGGGAAGGGGGTTTTGAAATAAATAGGGAGAGAGTGGGAGGCGGATAGAAGAGGGATAGAGGAGAGGATAGGTGGAGAGGAAACAAACAGGTCGAAGAGACGGGGATGGGGCCAGGAAAGGTGAGTGTAGGTAGGGAGTTAGGAAGGGGATAGGTCAGTCCAGGGAGGACGGACAGGTCAAGGGGGTGGGATGAGGTTGGTCGGTAGGAGATGGAGGTGCGGCTTGAGGTGGGAGGAGGGGATAGGTGGGAGGAAGAACAGGTTAGGGAGGCAGGGACGAGTTGGACTGGTTTTGGGATGCGGTGGGGGGAGGGGAGATTTTGAAACTTGTGAAATCCACATTGATACCATTGGGCTGCAGGGTTCCCAAGCGGAATATGAGTTGCTGTTCCTGCAACCTTCGGGTGGCATCGTTGTGGCACTGCAGGAGGCCCAGGATGGACATGTCGTCTGAGGAATGGGAGGGGGAGTTGAAATGGTTCGCGACTGGGAGGTGCAGTTGTTTGTTGCGAACCGAGCGTAGGTGTTCTGCAAAGCGGTCCCCGAGTCTCCGCTTGGTTTCCCTGATGTAGAGGAAGCCACACTGGGTACAGCGGATGCAGTATACCACATTGGCAGATGTGCAGGTGAACATCCAGCCCTGCACCTTGTTGTCTCGGATTCTCCAGCATCTGCAGTTCCTACTATCTCTGATTAAATAGCAAGTCACCTCTGATTGGCTGATGAATTGCTGTGGGGAAATCAATGGGAAGTAATTGAGTGTGCAAGTAGCTACACTAATGCAGTTGGGGAACAGTTAATTCAGTTGGCCGGATGGCTGGTTTGTATTGGAGAGGAACCCCAAAAGTGTGGGCTCAATCTGCATTGGCTGAGGTTACTAAGATTACTCCTCCTTAACCTCTCTTCTTGCCTGAAATGTGGTGACCCTTGGGTTAAAACACCATCAGTCATTTGTCTGTAATAAGAGAGCAACCCTATGGTCCGGTAGTACTATGGCAACTCTACACTAACAGTTTGAGATAATCGATTGAGCTTGCAACATAGCTCAATAATGCTTGCTCGAAGCAGCATACATTAATACAGAGAGTGCCATTCTCTCCAAATGGAAAATGTTTGAGACGTACACGTTTTTTAAAAATTACTGGGGAGCATGGTAACCCTACTGTTCCCCATTTGTTTCCTCCAATACCATGTCTTGATCAATCAGAGTTGATTTGCCTGGAAATTGGTCCCTTTTCAGCTGTAGTATAAATTGTTGTGAATAATTTGAAATTTGGCATTCTTGTGTTTGCCCTGATGAATGTACGATGACAACAGCTTCAGCAACATTCTTTTCAGCATCATTACATTGAAATCCCATAGCAGTATTTGATGAAGAGTGTGGGAATTTTACCAGTATCCTGGGCAACATTTGTTGCTGATCCAACACCATTGAAGTAAATCCTCATTAGACTTTTTCATGTGGTCTGGGGTTTGGAACAAGCTAACCAGAGGAAGTGGTGGAGACGTGTACAATTACAACATTTAAAAGGCATCTGGATGGGTGCAGTCGGTTTTGCTATGACATGATAGTTGCATTTGTGCAACATCGCGCTGTAGAAATAAAGCAGGGCTAGGAGCAGACCACCAAAAAATATTACTCAAAATTGCTCAAAAATCACTATTAGCCTAACACAAAAGTTAACACAGTTTGAATAAATGTTTAATTCATATCTAATAGTGAAATAAAGGTAAATTTAACACCTTACTTCAAAAAAATGTCAAGATGACTTGATGGGGGAGGAGGTTTTGAGGTTGCTCTGTTGTTAATGCAGGGGCTGAGGGTCATCATCATCGTCATCATCAGGTGCAGTTGTGGTTGCAGGATTAGGGCGAAAATTAGTTAATCCAGAAGAGGTTGTCTGTAAATCAGCTGTATCAGATTGGCTGTAGAGAGGTCTTCACAGTGGGATTCGAGCAGCTTTCCAACATTCTCATTCTCCACATCTTCAAATCCAACTTTCTTTGCAAGATCAACATAATGTTCTTTGATTCTTGGGAACTCCTCTGACAGATCAAAGCCTTTATCGGGTAGGCTATGGCCTTGTGGTATTATTGCTGGACGATTAATCCGGAGATCCAGGTAATGTTTGGGGGACCTGGGTTCGAATCCCACCATGGCAGATGGTGGCATTTGAATTCAATAATAGTTTGGAATTAAGAGTCTAATGGTGACCATGAAACCGTTGCCGATTGTCAGGAAAATCCCATCTGGTTTACTAATGTCCTTTAGTGAAGGAAATCTGCCACCCTTACCTGGTCTGGCCTACATGTGACTCCAGACTCTCAGCAATGTGGTTGACTCTTAAATGCCCTGTGGGCAATTAGGGATGGGCAATAAATGCTGGTCTAGCCAGCAATGCCCATGTCCCATGAATGAATGGAAACAATCTGGGAGAAGCATCCACCAAACTGCATGCAAGCAGTCCTTACTGTCATCACCCCAGGCCTCCAAGATAACGTCAATTGCATTCTTGATGTTAAAGCTCTTCCAAAATTGAAGAATACTTGTTCCCCTCAGTGGCTGCAATCAGCATCTTAAATGTGTGCCTTAAATAATAAGCTTTAAAAGCTGCTATTGCACCTGGTCCATGGTTTGAAGGAGAGAGTTTGTGTTCAGGGGTAGAAATGGCACTTTGATGTTTTCAGAAAGCTTGCCAGTGGTAGGAGGATGGCTTGGCGCATTATCCAGGATGGTAATTACACTCTAAAAGTAATTTTGGTTACCAAGCAGTTTGCAGTAGGCATAAGGTTGTCAGCAGTTATGAAAAGTATGATGCTTAGAGGTAATTTTCCTCCATGTGCTGAAGTAATTAATTATTTGTTGGATACTGATAATTTGTCTAAGTATTTAATACTTATAAGCCTGGAGAGTCAACTCCAGTAGGCTATTTGAGCTTTGGGGACATCACAGCTAAGCCCAAAGCTTGTCTCACCTGAAATTTAGACTTGTGCACATCTGGCTGGGATTTCTGAATGTAAAATAGGGCCAGGGTCCCTGATGGTTTCCGCTTTCTCACCTTAGTGCTTGATACCAATTATAGTGCCTCAGCTAGCAATAGAATGTTAGTCATGACTCAAACAGAAGTCCAGGAACTCCCTACCTATGTCCATGACACCACCCACGCCCTCCTCCTCCTCCAGAACTTCCAACTCCCCGGTCCCCAACACCTCATTTTTACCATGGACGTTCAGTCCCTACACACCTGCATCCCCCATACAGATGGCCTAAAGGCCCTCTGCTTCTTCCTGTCCTGCAGGCCTGACCAGTCCCCCTCCACTGACCCCCTCATCTGCTTAGCCGAACTCGTCCTCACCCTCAACAACTTCCCTTTCGATTCCTCCCACTTCCTACAGACAAAGGGGGTGGCCATGGGTACCCGCATGGGCCCAAGCTACGCCTGCCTCTTTGTAGGTTATGTGGAACAATCCCTCTTCCGTAGCTACACTGGCCCTAAACCCCACCTCTTCCTCCGTTACATTGATGACTGTATCGGCGCCGCCTCGTGCTCCCACGAGGAGCCCAAACAGTTCATCCACTTCACCAACGCCTTCTACCCCAACCTTAAGTTCACCTGGACCATCCCTAATACTCCTTCCTGGACCTCTCTGTCTCCATCTCTGGCAACCACCTAGAAACCGATATCCATTTCAAGCCCACCGACTCTCACAGCTACCTAGAATACCCTCCTCCCACCCACCTTCCTGCAAAAATGCCATCCCCTATTCCCAATTCCTTCGCCTCTGCCGCATCTGCTCCCAGGATGAGGCATTCCACTCCCGTACATCTCAGATGTCCTCGTTTTTCAAGGACCGCAACTTACCCCACTCAGTGGTCGAGAATGCCCTCGACCGTGTCTCCCGTATTTCCCGCACCTCATCCCTCACACCCCCTCCCCGCAATAACAACAAAACAGAATCCCCCTTGTCCTCACGTACCACCCCACCAACCTCCTGATCCAACGCATCATCCTCCGACACTTCCACCATCTGCAATCTGACCCCACCACCAAAGACATTTTTCCCTCCCCACCCTTATCTGCTTTCCGGCGGGACCACTCTCTCCGTGACTCCCTTGTCCGCTCCACACACCCCTCCAGCCCCACCACACCTGGCACTTTTCCCTGCAACCGCAGGAAGTGCTACACCTGCCCCTACACCTCACCCCCATCCCAGGCCCCAAGAAGACTTTCTACATCAAGCAGATGTTCACCTGCACATCTGCTAATGTGGTATACTGCATCCGCTGTTCCCGTTGTGGCCTCCTCTACATCGGGGAAACCAAGCAGAGGCTTGGGGACTGCTTTGCAGAACACCTACGCTCGGTTCGCACTAAACAACTGCACCTCCCAGTCGCGAACCATTTCAACTCCCCCTCACATTCCTCAGACGACGTGTTCATCCTGGGCCTCCTGCAGTGCCTCAACGATGCCACCTGAAGGTTGCAGGAACAGCAACTCATATTCTGCTTGGGAACCCTGCAGCCCAATGGTATCAATGTGGACTTCACAAGCTTCAAAATCTCCCCTCCCCCTACTGCATCCCAAAACCAGCCCAGCTCGTCCCCGCCTCCCTAACCTGTCCTTCCTCCCACCTATCCCCTCCTCCCACCTCAAGCCCCACTCCCACCTCAAGCCCCACCCCCACCCCCACCTCCTACCTACTAACCTCATCCCGCCCCCTTGACCTGTCTGTCCTCCCTGGACTGACCTATCTCCTCCCTAACTCCCCACGTACACTCACCTTTACTGGCTCCAACCCCGCATCTTTGACCTGTCTGTCTCCTCTCCACCTATCTTCTCCTCTATCCATCTTCTATCCGCCTCCCACTCTCTCCCTACTTATTTCAGAACCCCCTTCACCTCCCCCATTTCTGAAGAAGGGTCTCGGCCCAAAACGTCAGCCTTCCTGCTCCTCTGATGCTGCTTGGCCTGCTGTGTTCATCCAGCTCTGCACCTTGTTATCGCACTCTGAAGATTTGAGCATGAGAAAGAAATCTCGGCTGACACTAAGTGCAACACTAAGAGAAAACTTCACTGTTAAAGGTACTATTTCTGGATGACATGTTAAGCTGAGACCCTGTCTGCCCCTCAAATCCCGTTAAAATCATCATTAAAAGATCCCAAAGCACTTTGAAGAGGCGATGCGTTCTGCCTGATATCTTGGCTTTCTTTCTCTCTTCTATCCTGTGACTAACATCATTAAAGTACATCAATTGGCGAGCATCAAATTTCTGTAAAAACTCAGCAGCTCTGGCAGCATCTGTGGCAAGAAAGCAGAGGTAACATTTCAAGTCCAGTGACCCTTCTTCAGGAGTTCTAAAGGTCATGAAAGGCACAAGTATAAATTAAGACTTCGTTTATCACTATCTTGCCTTGAGACTAATTAACTCAGCATAGACCAGAGTTTGAAGTTGCAATAAATTTAGAAAATGCCAGAGAAATCCAACATCTGGCAGCATCTGTGGAGACAGAAGTAGAGTTAATGTTTTGAGTCCAGTATGACTCTTCTTCAGAACAGTTCTAAAGTAGTTCATCTCTCCAGTATTAGGTAGATAAACGTGCAGAGTTATTGAGAATGATTTTAGTCACTGCAGTGTGTTGTGTATTTCTGAATTGAACTCCGCTGCTACTGTGACTTGCCTTGGTGAATGGTAATGCTTAGGCATGAACCATGGTAGTAGAGAGGTTTCTAAGTGTAGAAAAAGACATATTTTCAATATTTCCTTATGGTTTAATAGAATTTTATTTTGAACAGGTGCTGGAGGAAAATTCAAATGCCACTGTGGATGAAATCCAGACTGCACTGAATGAACATACTTTAATTATTCTGAACAATCGAGTGAACAACAGGGTTTCCCAGGTAGGTGTGAAACTGATCAGTAAATGTTGCCATATGGGCATTAGTTAATGTGCCTAATACCCTTTCAGAAGGACTTCAATAAAATGTATCCCAAAGGACTTGTTACAAAAGTGTGGCTGTATGGTATTTAAAAATAAATGAAATATCATGAAAAGACAAGACAATTAGGTAAGAAGCAAAGAGTTGTTTCTCACATTGGAGAAGGATGGAATGAATTAGTGGTGGAAGTGTTTGATCCAGTGCTGTGTTCATTGTCTGCAAGGGTGAGTGCAATTTCAAAATAATGGTAAAAAGAAAATGAGAAAATTAGGCCGATGAAAAGGCCGGTTTTTAAAACAAAACGTCAGGAAAACAGCAGCAGTTAATGGAAGAGGCGAGCAAGTGACAGATGTCCATCTTGATTGATTTTTTTTTTCTTGTCACCAAAACAAATTGTCAGCTATGGTCAAATAACTTGACTGTTCTATGGATACTTTGGGAGAGTCGAAAGCTAAGGGAGTAAAACCTGACAAACATCTGGAGTGGAGCCTAACAGCAGACAAATTTTTAAATACATCATCTTTTAGGCAACTCCTGCAACTAAAACAGTGTCAAACATAGTGGTTTGCATCCTTTTGGCCTCACCTGGAAAAGTCAAGATGTACTCCCCCTGATACTTGGAAACCTAGGGGCTCCATAAATTTTTCCCAAGCCAGCACCCTGAACCTCCAATTTTACTGCAGAACATTAACACAACACAGTTGTTAGCCGTTACGGTGATAAGCCCAACTTGATTGATCGAGAACATGTGCTATCTCGAGATGTGGAAAGGACAATTAGATCACACCGGTCAGCTACTGTTCACTTCAAGTAGGCAGCTCCTGACCATTGACAGGATGCAGAACTGGACAAAGAAGTGGCAGATGGAATTCAACCTGGAAAAGTGTGAAGTGATTCATTTTGGAAGGTCGAATTTGAATGCAGAATACAGGGTTAGTGGCAGGATTCTTGGCAGTGTGGAGGAACAGAGGAATCTTGGGGTCCACGTCCATAGATCCCAAGTTGCCACCCAAGTTGACAGGGTTGTTAAGAAGGCGTATGGAGTGTTGGCTTTCATTGGCAGGGGAACTGAGTTTAAGAGCCTCAAGGTTATGCTGTAGCTGTATAAAACCCTGGTTAGGCCACACTTGGAATATTGTGTTCAGTTCTGGTCGCCTCATTATAGGAAGGACGTGGAAGCTTTAGAGAGGGTGCAAAGGAGATTTACCAGGATGCTGCCTGGACTGGAGGGCGGGTCTTATGAGGAAAGGTTGAGGGAGCTAGGGCTTTTCTCATGGAACGAAGAAGGATGAGAAGTGACTTGATAGAGGAGTACAAGATGATGAGAGGCATAGACAGAGTGGATAGCCAGAGACTTTTTCCCAGGGCGGAAATGACTATTATGAGGGGACAAAATTTTAAGGTGATTGGAGGAAAATATAGGGGAGATGTATGAGGTAGGTTCTTTACACAGAGAGTGGTGGGTGGGTGGAATGCGCTGCCGGCCGTCATAGTGGAGTCAGATACATTAGGAACGTTTAAGCAACTCTTGGGTAGGCACACGGAGGATAGAAAAATGTAGGGTATGCAGGGTATTTGATCTTAGAGTAGGATAGTAGGTTGGCACAACATCGTGGGCTGAAGGGCCTGTACTGTGCTGTACTGTTCAATGTTCTATGTTCACCGAAATACAGTGAAAAACTTTATTTATGAGTGGTACAGGCAGAGCCGAGCAAGCAAAGGACATAATGATCAAAAAGACTTCGAGGCATACAGGTTACATTATTTGAGGCTAGAGTCCATTCAACAGTCTGATAATGGCTGGAAAGAAGCTGTTCCTGAACCTGCATGTGAATGTTTTCAGGCTTCTGTATTTCTGTAGTTTCTTACGGTCCTGGGCAGAGCAGTTGCCATACCAGGCTGTTATGCATCTGGACAGAACACGTTCAGTGGTGCATCTGTAGAAGTTGGTGAGGGACCTTATGGACATGCCAAATTTCCTGAGCTGCTGAGGAAGGAGAGGCATTGTTGTGCCTTCTTGACTGTCACATTTACGTGGGAAATTCAGGACAGGTTGTCGGTTGTCGTCACTCCGAGGAACTGGATGTTCTTCACTCTCGCAACCTCCGTTCTGTTGATGTAGATGAAGCGTGTTCTCCTCCTTCCTTTCTGAAGTCAATGATCAGTTCTTTAGTTTTGCCGACGTTGAGAGACAGATTGTTTTCATTGTACCACGTCATCAAGCCTGCTATCTCCCTTCTGTATTTTAGATATTCTGTTAGATATCTGTCCCACTACGGTGGTGTCGTCAGCAAACCTGTGGATGACGCTTGTTTGGAATTTGGCAACACAGTCGTAGGTGTACAAGGAGTACAGGCTGAGGATGTATCCTTGTGGGGGCTCCAGTGTTGAGTGTTATTGTGGAGGAGGTGCAGTTACCTATCCTCACTGATTGCGGCCTATAGTCAGAAAGCTAAGGATCCAGTTGCAGAGGGTGGAGCTGAGACCAAGGTCATGGATTTTTGAGATCAATCTGGAGGGGATAATGGTGTTGAAGGTGGAGCTGTCGTCAGTGAGCAGGAGCCTGACATAGGTGTCTTTATTGTCCAGGTGTTCCAGGGATGAATGCAGGGCTAGGGATATGGCATCCTCTGTGGACCCTGTTATGTCAGTAGGCAAACTGTAGGGGATTGCAACAGGATGGGAGACTGGAGTTGATGTGGGCCATGACCAGCCTCTCGAAGCACTTGTCTTTAAATCAAAGGTTAAGTTCAAACCCCACTCGATTGCATGCAGTTGGCTGATCCTTAAGTGTAGTATTAAAGGAATGCACACTGTTGAAGGTACCATCTTTTAGATGCCCTCAGGTGGTTGTGCAAGATTTCATGCCGGTATGTGAAGGAGAGCAGGGGAGTTCTCCTGGTACCTCAAATAATCAGGTTATCGTGTCTGTTTTATCACTGGTCATGTGATCTTGTAGGGCATAATATGACTTCTGGGTCCTACATTCGAACAGTGATTACTTTCTTTAAAAGAAACTTGTGTTTTTGGCTCTGGAATTTGCTGAGATTCTTAAATGCACATGAATGTACTTTTTGTTTTAGAAACAATGTTCTTTCCTTGCTTTCCTTTCCTTTTACTTAGTAATTTTTACCCTACTTTCTTATCCAATTACTGTTGGAGGTGGACTATAATGGGAGTTTCAGTGGTGCGTGCATATGCAGTATTTCAGCATAAATATTTTTCAAATGCTGTTGAGAATGCACTGTGACTTAAGTTTGATATATTCCCCTGCAAATTCAAAATTCAGAACTTCTGTGAAAATAACAATAGTTGAAAATTCTGAGAGTTAAGTCCAAAACAGTGTTGTGTCATATTCATTTGTCATTATAGTGTCAGATTTGAATGGCCTCTAAGAATTGGTTTAAGTGTCTTAGAATCCCTACAGTGTGGAAACAGGCCCTCCAGCCCAACAAGTCCACACCGACGCTCAGAGAATCCCACCCAGACCCATCCCCCTTTAACCCCTCCTAATCTAGGCATCCCTTGAACACTATGGGCAATTTAGCATAGCCAATCCACCTAACCTGCCCATCTTCGGACTATGGGAGGAAACCGGAGTACCCAGAGGAAACCCACGCAGACACGGGGAGAATGTGCAAACTCCACACAGACCAGTTGCCCTAGGGTGGAATCGAACCCGCGTCCCTGGCGCTATGAGGCAGCAGTGCTAACCGCTGAGCCACCGTGCCACCCCGCCTTGTTATAATTCAGTGATTCAGTAATCAATTTAGTCTGTTCTGTTTTTTGTGACCTCATTCAGTCTTTATTCTGATGGCATATTTGAAGCTCTTCAATTTTTTTTCCTCTCGTCGCTGTTCCTGAAGGTTACAACTTTTGTTGGACAACCTCGTCCTGCTGCACTGCACTGGCTGCACGCTGCCTGTAATTGTTTCTTTTCCCCAAATTCTAACCCTGCTCTCCACCCCATCAACAGTGGTAAAGACGTCAACCATCACAAACGCTTTTCCTAAACTTGGGCTACATCTCATTTTAAGTGTCTCCTTCAACCTACCTCTTCCCTACCCTTTCTCCTCCTCTCATCTGCTGGTCACTATGTATTATTCCTACCCTCCTGTTGTGTAAGTGGTTCAAGTCCCATATGACTTTTGGTCAAGTAATTATTTCTAAATGTGATTTCATACAGCTGGTGCCATTGAATTGCTTGAATATGGAGATGTTGTTTTGCATGACATGAACAAGCTGCACTTTGGGAAAAGAGAGTCAAGTTAATGAATACACATACAGAGAAATAGTGCAAGGAAATTTTCAAAAATATGCTGCCTTATGAACAAATGTATTAAAGTTTTTTTTGAAACATTTTAACACTTACATTGCATTACAATTCTGTTTTGTTGCAAGGTGAAAAATGTGAGTGACTGCAAGGATAAATTGATAGGAGACTTCTGGAAAAATCAGATGAAATCAAGAAAGTGTCCGAACTGCCAGTAAGTGATTTCTGTCCATGATGTTAGGTGTGATTACTTTGTACGTTAGGATAAACGCCTGTGGCAACAGCCAGTTGATATGCGTTTTGTTGCTCATGCTTGCAGACTAAAGATAATGATTAAAGGAATGAAATATGCATTAATTTATTTAGTATGGAAAAACAACTTGAGCTTTCTTCTTCATTGACACTTCATTCTTGGCACTGGCTGTAATGGTGGCATTCAGGGTCACCAGAGATTTAGCACATAGCAGAACAGGAGGTAGTATGCTGAGGAACCTTATTTCTTCAGTCTAACCATTATTATGGGGTATAATTAATGGAAACATGATGAAGGAAAGTGACAAAGAGGCTCAGGAAGCTATAACATAGAAATGAGGTAGTTAGAAGCTGTACTACCTCAGTGAGCATGTCAGCTGTTGCAAACAGAGATACATCAACTGTCTCAAGGATCAAAGCGCTAAGAGCATTAACGCCATTTTCTAGAACCAGCCCTGTGATGAAAAGCATGATGTGCTGCAACAAGTAGGAAATGTAATGCTGACAGTTGAATCTGGCAAAGCTGACTGTTGCAGTTTTTCCTGTTGCCCCAGCTGCGTTCAGAGAGTTCAGCACAAAGTAAGATATTAAACGTTGCATCGTTGTGTTTTTGTGACTTAGTTACTGGGAACTGATAGAAAATAGTTTTGTTCTCATGCAAGTAATTATTTATATCTTTTCTGAGTTGTGATCTATGTTAATATTGCAGTACGTGAAACCAATCGTTACTATTAACAAAGAATGACAGGAATAATTTAGTCACAGAAATTTAACTCCAAGCAGAAAGAAAAGGGGAGGCGATGGCCTACTGGCATTATCGCTGGGCTATTAATCCAGAGACCCAAATAATGTTCTGAGGACGAGGATTGGAATCCTGCCGTGGCAGATTGTGGAATTTGAATTTTAAAAAAAATCTGGAATTAAGAATCTAATGATGACCATGAATCCATTGTCAATTGTCAGAAAAACCCATCTGGTTCACTAATATCCTTTAGGGAAGGAAACTGCCATCCTTGCCTAATCTGGCCTTCATATGACTCCAGACCCACAGCAATGTGGTTGACTCTGAACTATCCTCTGGGCAATTAGGGATGGGCAATAAATTCTACCTAGCCACGACACCCTCATCCCGTTAATGAATAATAAAAAACAGGTTTTAGTTTTTTTAAACAATTTAATTAAGTTTGTACATGCAGTGTATTGCTGAGTTGAGTTTGGGGGATTTCAAAGCAATGAATGGAAGAATTTTGCATTCCTGGAAAGAGTACTATGGAGATGTGCAGCAGGAGGGTGTGAATAGGGAAACTTTGTAAATGCTATGAAGTCATGGACAGGACAGGATAGGAGTTTTGGAAATGATAGTGGAAATGAATTATGAAAGCATTGTGAACATATAAGGAAGAATCCAGCAGGATATGGACAATAATACACTTGGGAAAAAGATATTATGGTTGTGTAAAGCATCGAGGTAAAGAGCCAGAAACACTTGGTTGGGAATATGGGTTTCAGTTTAGGAAAATGTAAGATTTTATTTGGGATCCAATCATGTAATCTGTATATCTGCACTCTTGGAAGCAGGAGATATGTAACCCAGGGAGAACTGTAAACAGAGAAATAGAAAAGTAGGGTCATTTCTACCCTATTTAAATTCATTTTGAGGATCGAAAGATGCAGAGAAAGATTACTTCTGATGTCTGAAAATAAACATTTTATTGCAGTTGGAAAAATATGCTTTTGTGTTTGCTGAGTAGACTGAGGTGATAATGAAGTATTGGATTAATAAAATTTCTTATTTACCTTCTCTGTAGAGCTGGTAAATCAGTTGTGCGGAAAGAACACAACAGCAAACTAATTGTGACATACCCCACAACTGCTCTGAAAGTCAAAGAGAATAAAGATACAGACGAGGCTGTCAAAGACAGTGGAGGTAAATCTGCATAAAGTTACTTGTGCACCACATCTTTCTACAGCTGATGAGTTTGGATAGGGAATTGTTCTTTCCATGCAATATCTAAAGATTTCAAAAATAACTTCACAAATGCTTCAGAACACCAATGAAAAATAATGTAGGACACTGTTCAAATTGGATTTGACTGCATCAGTAATGTGCAGCAACCAGCATGAATCTCCCCACTCAGTGCGGTGAGACTGTCTGCTAGGAGTACCCTTTTATTTGGCATATGTTGATTGAATTCTGGAGTTGTATCAAAGCAAACTACTGTAAATTTTGGAAACTAGATATAAATTGCTGGAAATACTCAATGGATCTGGCATGAAACTTTAACTCTTTCTCTTGCCACAGATACTGCCAGACCTGCTGTATTTTTCAGGATTACCAGTAGTTATTCTGGCTTTTATTACTGCTTTTTCATTGATGTGCACCTGTGACCATTTTACAGTCAAGCAAACATGTTTGAAAAAGCCATTTGGTTGTGAATAATAGCGCTTACACGTATTAAAAAAAAACAAAAGTTTGACTGGAACTTAAATGGCACTTTTTGTTCTGTTTTTCCTTTCTGTTTTTTGCTAGCCCATTTCTTTTTTTATTAGCATTAATATAGTTAGCATTGTTAATTTGAACATTTCTCCTACAACTGCAGACTGGGAAATGCAGAAATTGTTTTATTTAGTTTGTTTCATTCTATTTCATTCCCTTGTCACTCTTGGCTCTTGATCTGGAATTTCAAACTACTCATCCAAGATCTGAGCTCATAATCAATTCTGGTGCTCCACCACACTACTGATAGATTGCTACATTGATAGAGGTATGACTTCAACTCTTAAATCGATGCCCCATTTGTCGTTTTAGAATGAATGTAAAAGAGTTCAAGGCATATTAACCAACATTTGCCCCTCAGCCAACACCATAACACAGATCAACAACATGAACTGCAACCTTCCACAGCGCTTCCCAAAGATGTAATCTAAAAAATGGACTTCAAGCTAAGGAAAGAAATATTGGAAAATGTGATCCCAAAGTTTTGTTAAAATAAAAGCAGCAAGTGAAGTGGCAAAGCAGTTTAGGGATGAAATTCCATTCAATGGAACCCAGGAGGCAGAAGGCTTTGGAACCAGTGGTGGGGTGAAAGTCAGGGGTACTCAGAAGAGGTCAGAGGAGTAGAGAGCTCTGGTCATGTAATGAGTGGTGATGCTGTTATGTGACATGAAAATGTTGGAGAGATTTGTTGTATTGAGGTTGAACAGGGATTTTAAAATGAACAAAAGAAGCCATTGCTAGAGATGCTGTGGTTGTGATTGAATAGGTGAGAGTGGATTAACTGGTAATTTATTGCACTGCTATTTGTGAGACCTTGCTGTGTTCGTATTTATCAAGTTTTCTTACGTAACACTGGGTACACTTCAAGAGTAATTGTTAGTTCTAGTGTGATTTGCAATACGCTGAGAATGTCTAAAATGCTTTATAAATACAATTCCTTATTTTTTAATGTTTTCATATTTTATCATGACTTAAGACAAACAATTATTATTTTGTTTATATCTTTTTGACAAGGTCTTGATGATTCGCTGTTAGGAAAACGAGGATTTCTGACTCCCACTACTGCCAAAGATCACATGTCGGAACTGTGGAAAAATGATGGTAAATGGTTTATGTGTCTGCCTTTAGGGGGACTAATGGTAACTTTGGAGAGGGTGGTAGAGAGAATTTAATTATGCATAAAGGATGCTTGGTGAACATGCTGGAGGTGGAAAATTCCTATTAAATAGTAAACATCTATTTTTGGTTTTTGAAATTTGACAAGCCTGCAATGCACTTACAAATGTTTAGCGTTTGCAACCTTCCCGTCTGTGTGTGAAGGTAATAATTATTTGGCATTAAGGAGAAGAGGTTGTGCTGGCAATCCATGGCGGATCTCCTCATTGTACAGCTGACTCGGGCATACATCTGTTTATGATCTTTGATCATGTAGTGTCCACATGGATTCCTCCATTATCTTCGAGCTCAACTCAGTTGATTGCATCTTTAATCATGAGTGTTGCATTTTCAATTTAACCCATGCAGTTATAGTTTTCATTACTCAATTGGACTTTTAGTGGTGTTAATCATCAGTCTGTAAGTGTATTGGCGTTAGCCTGGCTTAGTACCACTATGTTGGTCTATTTGAAATGAGGTGTAGTGGATGTTCTGACTCTACCTCCCCTGGTAAGATGAACAAAGCAACACACAAAGCTGAAGAAGAAGCACGGAGTGACAACATGAGCACAAGAGTAGGTGTTTGCCATGTACTTCTGTGAGTCTGCTTGGCCTTTTGGTAAGATTATGGTTGATCTTTTGCACCAGCTCCACTTTCCCACCCTCTGCTGTACCTCTTGATTTTCCTGGTGCCCATACTTCAGCTGAGAGATGGTGGTATTGTGCTAATGTCACTGAACTAATAGTCCACAGACCCTTGCCAATGCTTTGAGGACATGAGTTCAATCATGAAAGCTGGGGCTTTACAGTTGGTGAAATTTAAAATAAGTTAATAAAACCCTAGAATCTAAAGCTCCACAACTGTGCAGTGTTGACCATGAAGCTTCAGTTTTTTGTCATAAAAATCCAACTGGCTCACTTAATGGCTGTCAGGGAAGGAAATCTGGCCTAATCCAGTTTGTCTTATATGTGAATTCGGATCAGCATTCTCTCTCTAAGCTGAGTGGTCACAAAATCGGTCTGACAAATCAATCTGTCAACGTGCTGACAAGTTAACTTCCAATTTCACAAGTTGCTGCTGTAGACAGATCTTGGACATCGTTTATAAAAGAAAAATAATTAGATGGAATGTAGCTCCAGGCCCATGGTAATGTGTCTGACACTTAACTGCTCTCTGAAATGGCTGTAGCAGTCTAATCTTTTCAAAAGTAATTGGGGATGGACAGCAAATGCTGGGCTTGCCATGGATACCCTCATCGCATGAAAGAAAAATAAAAATGTATTTTGAACTGCAGCCCTCTGGGTTAGAGAATTCCAAAAATTCACAGTTTTTGATTCTTCCATTTAAAATGTTGTGTGTGGTCATATTTTTTTCCTCAATGCATTGCCCTTTCAAAGTACTTAAAGTAGGCCAACACCTGGGTGGTTTCTTCCAGGCTGCTGCGACTTATTGGAACTAAATTAACTGTGATTTTGAATGGCGGGGCTGGCGACTCCTGCTTCTGTGTTCCTTTGGAAGTGTTACTTCTGAACATAGAAATTCCTCCTCATCTCAGTCCTAAATGGCCAAGCTTTTTATTCTGCCACTTTAATTCCGAGTTCTAAACTCTACAGCTAGGGATGCAGCCATTCACTATGTACTGCATCAAGTTGATATCATTAAGTCTTTTCAGACTTTGAGATGTTGCAAGGTGAAATCCTAATTCTTTTAAACTCCAGAGATTATTGTCCCTTGAGAAGACTAGAAAAGTTGAGGGGGAGAAGCATTCATTACATAAGGAGAGGGGCAAAATCAAAAATTGTGCGTTTACTTGTATTTGAGTTGCACATTTACATAAATTGCTTTGGCTTTCAGTGAAACAAATGTTATCTTGTATTGTGTGCTACTGATTAAAGTAAAATATTTCTGTTTGGTATTCTAAAGGCAAATATTTTGTGCTCTTCAAAAGAAAGTCGGGTAGTATCAGTGTTTGAATAGTTGAAGCCTTGAACAATGAATGGGACTCTAGTCAGGGAAGGCACAGATTGTATGCACGGTGTAGTTTCCACTGAACTGTCCTCCTGAGCAATTGAAATTCACCTACTTCTCAAAAAATAGCCTTGTGCTCCTAAGTTGTCAATTGTGCCAAGTTAGCATTTTACACAATGCATACATGCCATAAATTGGATTGGTATTTTCAGATCGGCACATGCATGGCTCTTTGGTCAAGTGTAATTGGATTCAAACTTGCAAAGTTGTAAATTTGATCTGTACAATTGCTCAAACAAGGTTAGTGACCTGTTTATAGACAAAACACTGAAATGAAATTAAAACTAAATTGCTGTGAATTAAATTCAAAAGCAGTTTTACTCTAAATGTTTGACAGTCTCTGCACATATTAAGAAAAGCTGGGGAAATAATGGTATATGCAAATTCTGTATCCTTGACTTTCACTAAAACCAATTTATTATTTCCGTTAGGCTTCTTCCTGAAATATTTATTTCCTGGCTTGAGAATACATGGGAACACTAAGTCCAGCTGGAACCTTGATATGTTTTTTCTGGACGTTGTTGTTGTACCTCCTTCCAGGTAAAAGTACTTTAAAGAGTCAATTTGTCCTGGCAAATGGCAATATGGTACCAAGTGGTAATTTCATTTAACTATGTTGAAACATTTTCACATTTTTAAAAAAAAAACATGCATTCATTGCAAGTCACAGTCCTCAGAATTCTTGGTGGGGAACAGTAACCTTTCCAGTACGATTGGTGTAAAATACCACAGCAGATTTTTAGAATGATTGATGTTTCTGTGGAACATGATCCCTTTTTCTTTTGTAATCATTAGATTTCGCCCAGTCAATCGGCTTGGAGACCAGATGTTCACCAATGGTCAAACGGTTAATCTACAAGCTGTAATGAAAGATGTTCAAGTGATACACAAGCTTCTGGCTCTAATGGCACAGGAGCAAGTCAAGACAGTGCAGTCCATTCAGACTGAGAAGATATCAGAAATACCTGTTGTAAGATTTTTTATATGTTTGTTTGAAATATATGGAAGCTAGCTCTTGGTAACTAACTAAAAATAGTTTAAGTACAGCTGTAGGGAAAGCAATCTGCCTGATTTGGCCTAAATGTGAGTCCAGACCCACAGTAATGTTATTGACTCTTAACTTCTCTCTGATGTGACTGAGCAAGTCAATCAGCTAGGAACAGTCAACAAATGCTGACCTTGCCAGTGACACACATATCCCATAAAAGAATAAAGGAACACCTCAGCAACTTGATGATGTCCCAATCACCTCTGCAGTCTGCTTCCTCTGTGTCAACCAATCTTCTATTCATGCTAATCTATTACTTCATGACCCTTGTCGTGAATGTTAACCTTCTCAAATGCCTTTTGGAAATCCAAGTAAGTGCCATTTCCAGGCTCTCCTTTATCATCCTTCTCGTTACGTTCTCAAATGATCTCTAGCTTCAGTTACTTTCTGCCTAATTTTTCCCCTCTCTCATGCTGAAGCTCGCACGCAATGCTGTAATGAAAACCTTACCCAGGAGGGAACATTTTTTATTTGTTGGCAATAATTTATTTATGAAGAATGATTTTGATAAATTAGGGATAACTTTTCCTTATGGATCAATATGCTTTCGGGCAGTCATGATGAAAGCTGGTGTCCAGGGTAACATATTAGTTGAATAAAGGATTATTGGCTAAAAGAAAGCAGAAGCTGGGCACAAATGATCGTTTTTGGGCTGACCGGATGCGACAAATGGTGTGCCATAGAGATTGGTGCTGGGACCTTGATTATTTACAATCTACCTAAATGACTTTGATGTAGGGACCGAATACAGCATTGCTAAATTTACTGGTAGTACAAAAATAGGTAGGAAGGTAGTGGACGTGAGTCTGCAGAGGGATGTAGGTAGGTTCAGTGAGTGGGCAAGAATTTGAAAGATGAAGTATAATGTGGGAAAATCTAAACTTGTCCACTTTGGCAAGAAGGATAGAAAAACTGCATTTTTCTGCAGAAGAGATAGTAGGAACTGCAGATGCTGGAGAATCTGAGATAACAAGGTGTAGAGCTGGATGAACACAACTTGGTTAACAGAAGTGTCCTAGTAACATTTAACATAAATCATGAATCATGTACGCAGGTACAAATGATTAGAAAAGCAAATGAAATGTTGTCATTTATTGTAAGGGAATGGAAAGTAAAAGTAGGGATATTTTTCTGCAATTATATAGAAAGGTAATAGGTCTGTTAACTGGAATGATGTGTCCAGTTTTAGTGTTCTTATTTAAGAAAAGATGTGAATGCATGAGAAGCAGTTCAGAGAAGGTTGACTTGGCTGATTGCTGGAATGAGAGTTATCCCTTGAAGAAAGGTTGGACAGGCTAGGCCTGTATCAATTTGGTCACAGTCTAAGGATATGAGTAAAACTTTTAGGACAGAGATGAGGAGAAATTTCTTCATCCAGAGAGTGGTGAGCCTGTGGAATTCGCTACCACAGAAAACAGCCGAGACCAAAATATGTATGATTTCAAAAAGGAGTTGGACTTGGGGCTTCAGAGATCAAAGGATACGGAGGAAAAGCCGGAACAGGCTATTGAGTTGGATGAACAGCCTTGGTCATAACGCATGGCTGAGCAGGCTTGAAGAGCTGAATAGCCTATTCCGGCTTTTAGGCAAGATGAGAGGTAATTTTGTGGAAACAATATGTCCTGAGAGGGTAGATGCTAAAAGGATGGTTTCGCTCTGTGTGGGAGACTGGAGCTGAGGGACACAGTTCAAAACTAAAGGATCTCCCTGTAAAGGCGGAGATGAGGAGGTTTATGGTGAGTGTGATGCGTCTTTGGAACTCTCTTCCCTCGAGAGCAATGGAGATGAGGTCATTGAATATTTTTAAGGAAGGGAGGAAGATTCTTCACTGGCATTGTAGTTGTGTGTTATTGATGGGTTTGTGGATTTGAGGCCACAACCTGATCAGCCATTATTTTATTAAATGGCGAAGCAGGCTTGAGGGACCCGATGGCCTACCCTTGTTCCTAGTTTATGTCTCTATGTTTGAAAGGTTGTCCTGACTGTCTTGTCTATATCTATCCCTTTCTCATATGTCTGATGCCTGATCTCATTGGATGAGACAGCCAATTAGGAGTTAGTTGCAGTTGACTTCTGTGTCTGTTGCAAGCAAACAGAAAAACAGTCAGTGTTCTGGCCCCTGATCTGCATTCACTGATCCCTGCTTGCAGTATGTGTTGTTTGATCATCAGGTGAGACATAGGTTCTGATGTATTATTGCTGGCAGTCTGAACATTGGTTAACTGCTCAGGGGAGGCAATGGCCTAGTGGTACTATTGCTGGACAATTAATCCAGAGACCCAGATAACGTTCTGGGGACCCGGGTTCGAATCCCGCCAAGGCAGATGGTGGAATTTGAATTCAGTAAAAATATCTGGAGTCGATGATGAATCCATTGCTGATTGTCAGGAAAAACCCATCTGGGCCACTAATGCCGTTTAGGGAAGGAAACTGCCATCCTTACCTGGTCTGGCCTACATGTGACTCCAGAACCACAGCAATGTGGTTGACTCTGAACTGCCCTCTGGGCAATTAGGCTGGGGCAATAAATGCTTCCTAGTCAGCGATGTCCTCATCCCATTAATGAATTTAACAAACTGTCAAAGTTCACAAAAATAATGACCATTTAGACAGGATAAGGGAGAGGCTGACAGACAAAGAGCATGTGTGCATACAAGCGAACAACAGTACAAAAAAAGTTTTTTTTAAAAAAAACAATTTGCAGATGCTGGAAATCTGAAATTAAAACAGCAAATCTGGCGGCAACTGTGGGCAGAAACAGAAGTAAGACTTCAAGGTGATTACCTTCCTTAAGAAAGGTGACAGACTTTACTATAAATACTGTTTACTGAATTTTCAGCCAGACGAGAACACACCAACCAGGATGGACCTTGCCTTTTTAGCTGGTATTCCTGGGCAGACGTTGACAGACAAACTCTACAGTGCCTGGATACACCTTCAAAGTCATGTCAACATTGTTTTTGACAGTGATATGGATAAGCTGATTACAGACAAGTTTCCAGGTATCCGTCAGGTATGCTGGAGATGTAAACAATTGTTGTATTCTACTTGCCTGTAATTTATTCCATGAATTGGATTGCTAGTACCAAATATGACATGACATGACATTTTTAAAGAATATTGAATTACAAAATCTCTCCACAGATAGATTGCTTGAGGCAACAGTGAAATGTTCATGTGTGGTGACTGTAGCTACCTAAAGCTGAGCTATTCATTGTTGTGGTTTTTAAAGTTTACCATTGCAACAAGAAGAAATATAAAAGTTACATGTCATTTTGTAGAAGTCATTGGGTTGACAGCTTCAGATGAAAGTTAAGTTGGGAACAACCAATATTTTAAGTAAAGAAGAGCATCTGGGTGAAGAATTGTGAATAGTGACTTGGTAATACAGAACATAAGTATTGTGGAAAAGAGAGACATGTTGCAAACCGTCTTGCACTTATCAGGAAAACACATTAATTCCAAATTTCAAACAATCCAGACAGTTTGTATATGGGGAAAGGGTGCTGATTGCTCAGGTAAGTGGAGTTGATTAACAATTCTGTTTGGCTGGAATGTTGCCTTGGCAACCTCGGCATGAACATTAAGTAGCATTAGGATCTAGCCTGCTGTCTTACTGCACAGTGTCAGCACAGCATTATCCAGGTTTACACTGTGAAGTATGCAGGTTGGGTTGAATACCAATGGCACCAGAACTCTATCCAGCTTCATTAGAGATGGTAGTGAGATTAGCAATAAAGTAAAACTACATTCACAGATTTATAATATTATTTCCTATTCCGTTCATAGTGAAAGGGCACATTAGCGGCAAGTTCATGTTTTGAGTCTTTTGTGTGGGTGAACAAGTAGGAAGTGACATTTCCGCTTCTAAAGATTACACTTTTCTTAAACTCAGATCCTGGAGAAGAAGGATGGCCTCTTCCGCAAACACATGATGGGAAAACGTGTGGATTATGCAGCCCGTTCAGTCATCTGTCCTGACATGTACATCAATACCAATGAGATTGGTATTCCAATGGTATTCTTGATTTAGATCTGTTGTGATACATAAGCAGGGATGGCTATTCTTATGGTGTTATAGGTTTAGTTGTGGGTTAAGAGTCGTGGGGAAAGGAATGAAAATAAGGATTTTATAGTACTATCCAGACTGCAAGTTTCTGGTTTCCGCGGACAGGTGGAAAGCGATCTGAAAAGTGCTAGAGAAAGACCTATAAGTAAAAGATTTAAAATAAATCTTGATTCATTCAGTAACTATCAGTATGTGGCTCACGTACAATAAATGGACCAAAATAAATAGAGGGACAAATAATAGACAAGTTTATTCAATCATTGAAACTTGGTATCCTGACAATTTGCTCTTCCAAATAGCATCCAGCTGCATTTTGAAAGTCTGTAGTCTTTGCTTTTCTGCTTACTTCATCCAGGGAATTCACAAAGTATTAAATGTCCTTGAAGATTCCTTCAAATTACTTTGAAATTTACCTTTTGCTGGATTAAATTTTTGTCTTCACTTCATGCTTTCCTGTCTTCACCACCACCGAAGCTGCTTGTGCAGTACCTCCAAACTCTCAATGTCACCACCTAGAAGGATGCGGTAATGAGTGCAAGTAAACCCTCTGTTCTGATATTCAGGCCTTTCATAAAAATTTGAAACATCAAAGACCAAATGAATCACTTTCTCAGGTCATGTTGAGCTAGACTTGCTGCCTTCCCGAAGTGATGTTGAACTGAAGCCTTGTTGGGTTACACAGGTAAATGTAAATAGATGCAAATGGTGGATGTGAGTAATGGTGAATATCCTGGCCAACATTAACAACTTGTCCTTCATCTCATTATTGTTTGTGTGATCTTGCAACGTATTGGCTGCTAGATTTGCCTAACAAACAATAGTGATCACACTTCAAAAATGAAGTTAATTTTAGTTCTGTTAGCAGTCTGATACAGAATATTTTCGAATGTTTTATGGATGTCTCAAGTAAATTGAACGTGTTCAAGAGGTGACTAGATATAGCACTTGGGGCGAGTGGGATCAAAGGTTTTGGGGAGAAAGCAGGCTTAGGCTATTGAGTTGGATGATCAGCCATGATCGTGAAGAATGACGAAGCAGGCTTGAAGGGCTGAATGGCCTCATTCTGCTTCTATCTTTATGTTTCTATGACAAACTGGACAGGATGTGTGTACATAACATGTCAAATTTAAGTTCTAACTCCCTTACTTAATTAAATAAGTAAGACTTGCAATTCCGTATTTTATTTTCCCTCTTGGACTATGAGGTCTGTAGATGCTTGGACATAGCTTAGTATCTCAAAGCTTTGAAGATGATGCTAAATCCTGAAGCAGTTTTGTCTACAGTGTAGTCTCATTGTGTTCATTGGACACTTTACACAGTGGATGTTCAAACCAACTGAATGAGGCTGGTGAAAGTCTCCACTTCCCAACTTCCTCATAAGGTTGAGAGTGAATAGCTCACTGAAGCTGGACCAAATCTTATTCTGCTGTTAGCATTACAGGAGACAGTGGCAATAGAGAGACTTTGGTCAGCTTCGGTCAGCTTCAGTCAGCTTTTAAATTGGGGCTTACTGAACTGCTGGAAATTGGCTGATGCATGTCATGTAATGTACATATGTCTGCTCACTTTTCTTTCTCTTACAAGGTTTTTGCTACAAAGCTGACCTATCCTCAGCCAGTGACACCATGGAATGTGCAGGAGCTGAGGCAGGCAGTATTAAATGGGCCGAATGCACATCCTGGGGCTTCTATGGTAATCAATGAAGATGGGTCTCGTACGATTCTGAGTGCATCCAACCCAACCCAGAGAGAAGCCATTGCCAAACAACTGTTAACACCAAGCACTGGTGAATTGAGCTTAGGCATGAAAATTGTAAGTGGATGCCATTTACAAGTAAAACTGAGGAAATGTTGTCTTGTTTATTTTGCACAGAGTCACAAGTAGGTTCAAGTGAGTTAATAATCAAAGGACAGAATGCTGGCAATACTCTGCTGGTGTGGCAGCATCTATGGAGAGAAAAACTGAGTTTACATTTCAGGTTGCCAACCTTTCGTCGGAACTGATGGAAATTAGAAATATTTTGAGTAAATGAAAGTAGGATGGAGGAAGAACAAAAGTGAAGATCTGTGATAAGGTGGAGGACAGGGGATATTAAATGACAAAAAGTTTGGTGCGTGTCCAAGTGAGTGCTAACGGGATAAGTAAAGAACCAAAAGAGAAACTCAGCAGGTTTGGCAGCATCAGTGGAGAAGAAAGAAGCATTAATATTTTGAGTTCAGTGACCGTTTTACTAAAGAAACCAGCTCAATGCAAGCTCAAGGAATGTGACTTCATCTTTCAAGTTAGCATTCTACAGCCTTCTGGGTAAATAGTGAATTCAACAGCTTAATGTCATAGCACAATGGGACAGAGTGTGTTTTTTTTTCTCAGTTTCTCTCTTATCACCTTACATTTGGGCATCAGTTATCTTGCTGTTAGAGTCTAAACAAAAGATGTGCCTAGAGAGGTATGAATGGCAGGTGTTCCACAAGATGACCCCCAGTCTGTGTTTCGTCCTGTCAAAAAAAAGAAGGATGATGTCTTGAGCAACAAATGCAACTGTACTGAATTGAAGCAATGCAAATAAATCCCTGCATCACTTGAAAGGAGTAGATTGAGCCCTTCAACAAGGGAGGTATAAGGACAGAATTGTAAGGATTTTACTGACAATTGAGCAGCCTGTCTTGATTGATAGAAGTTGATTAAAGGTTAATTTGTGATGGGATGATAAATTGTGTCTGGTTTGTGACAGTAGAAACTGAGTGCTGATGATCTTAATGGGATGCATCTGGCAGGAAAATCTGAGCATAGCACAGTGATTTTGCAGAAACGTTCGCAAGTTTAAGAACAGCAAATGTTTGTTGACTTTTATTCAGCTCCTTTTGCGTAGGAACAGGGGTACTATGTTCAACTCCTCAAGCCTGTTCTACCATTCTGTGAAATTGTCTAATCTGTCTCTTCGTCAGCCTTAGTCTCAAAATTAGTGATATTCCTGTCCTGGATGGTGAGGATAAAGAAGGTAAAAGGGCAAATGTTGGTTCTCTTATGCTAGCATGGAAAGGTGACATAGAAAAGAGAGTGGGCGTTGGGTATGACAAGGGAGGGAACAGACTCTTCAGAATGTTGATGGGAGTGGATGATGTGTGTAATGGAATCACCAAACAGGAGCTGACGGACATGGCAGCAGATCAGTCATGAAGTATGGAGGCTGGCGGGTTGCAACCACATCGTGGTTTTAGGAGGGAGGAAATAGGATGAGAACTGAAATATGTGAATTGGACCAGATATGGTTAAGGGCCAGGTCAGCCATAGTTGGGATGAATCCTTGGTTAAGGATAAAGGAAGATATATCAGAAGTGTTGGTTTGGGAGATTGCAACACCTGAACAACGTGACTGAAGTAGAGAATCTGGGAGAATGGAATAGAGTTGGCACAGAAAATGAGTTGTGAGGAAGTGTAGTTTTCGTGGTCATGGACTTTGATGATCAAATAATGATCATTACATCCTGAGAGTCGATTACTGAAGTTGTTTAAGGAAAGAGAAGTCTCATTGGTGAACTGAGAGAATGATTGAAATTGGGATCAAAGTCAATTAAATTTTCTAGTTTGATGGGACAGAGTGAAATAATAGGCTTATCAAAGCAGTCCTGTTTGGGGAATTTGAGGTAGAATTGGGTCGTGTGTGGTCAGCTGTGATGTTGAAGGCTGTGAAAAGAAGATCTTCAGAGGAGATTTGGTCAGTGACAATCCTGGAGACAGTGGCATAGTATTCAGTGGTGCTGTGATGACTTGGCGAAAATGAGGGCGGTGTCAGAAAGTTGAGGTTTGGCCCCAATAAGGTGGACGCTACTGTGCTGAAGAACAACATTCCCCTTGTTGGCAGACTTTATGACAATGTTAGATATACATCTGAGAGAGTGATAAGCTTTTTCTTCTATCCTGTCCTATTGTACAAGGACTGATAGAGTCTCTCCAGAGAAGGCAGGATATTCAAATCTAAGCCTCAAGTGGCACTGCAGGATAGTTGTATTTGATACGCGAGTCAAAATTTAGTTTTAGAGATAGGAAGGGTGTGGAAGATGTAGAAATAGTGAGGGCAATAATATTAATGAATCCTAAGAGGGTGCTATCAAAGACATGAATTATATCAACTAGTTGTGCTTCAATCTAATACATCCATATGACTTATTAAGAGTGGAGTAATAAAATATTTTATATCATTTTGAAAGGTGTGCCGGCATATTAAGAACGGAGATGTTCTGTTGCTGAACCGTCAACCCACTTTGCACAGGCCATCCATCCAAGCCCATCGGGCCCGGATCCTACCGGGAGAGAAGGTCCTGCGGCTTCACTATGCAAACTGTAAAGCCTACAATGCTGACTTTGACGGTGATGAAATGAATGCACACTTTCCACAGAATGAACTTGGCCGAGCAGAGGCTTATGTAATTGCCAGTACTGACGAACAGTATTTGGTTCCCAAGGCAAGTACATAATGTTAGCAGGTGAAAAAGGTCGGAAAATTATCGTTCTCTCCTTAAGAGCTTATTTTCGCAGGCTGGGCCAGTTGTTTGCTCATTTCTTGTTACCCTCGAGAAGGTGAGCTGCCTTCTAAAACCCCTGCAGAATATTTGGTGTAGATGGACCCATAATGCCATAAAGAAGGGAACTTATCCCAGTGATACTAAAGGAACAGTGATATATTTCCATGTTACAATGGTGATCAACTTTGTAAAGTGGGCACTGTACAACCCCTTATCCTTCCTATTTGTTGCATTTTAACATTGATTCTGGAATAGTGTGACTTCTGGTCAGGATATGGCTTCACAGGTGCTTACAGTCTTTCTATACCTGGCACAAATGACAATTTCTACTGTGTCTTAATGGAGAATATTGACAACCATTTTCTACTGGGTGCTTGGTGACCAACCATCCCAGATTTTCCACGATTGTCTGGAATTTTTCTTTGTATCCTGGGTATGAGCTTCCCGAATGCCATTTGTCCTGGATTCGATGGCAGTAATATAAAGAGTCTGCGCCTGTGCACTGTGTTGCTGTGCATACACAGTCCAAAGCCAGCACAGACACTCGGACACAATGGAGTAGCAACACTGGCTGACATTCTACTGAGTTATCTTATAGAAACATATAAAATTATGAAGAGAATAAATAAGATAGAAGTAGAGAGGATGTTTCCACTGGCAGGTGAAGCTAGGACAAGAGGGCATAGCCTCAAGATTACAGGGAGCAGATTTAGGACTGAATTGAGAAGGAACTTCTTCACCCAGAGGGTTGTTAATCTATGGAATTTCTTGCTACTTCAGTAAACGTTTTTAAAGATAAGGTAGATTTTTTTTGAACAATTAAGGGATACGGTGAGAACGCGGGTAAGTGGATCTGAGTCCACGAAAAGATCAGCCATGATCTTATTGAATGGCGGAGCAGGCTCGAAGGGCCGGACGGCCTATTCCTGCTCCTAGTTCTTATGTTCTTATGAGTTGTCCATCTTCAGCAGGTTGATAGATGGATTTCCAGGGTACAGAGCATTGGAGGGGAGAGGGAGTGTGGAATATAGGTCAGCGGTGGTGGCATGCTTGAGACCTGGATTGGATGAATAGATCTGTGACCAACAGGGTGTCAAGGTTTGTGGCAAGTAACAGGATATTGGACTTGAGACCACTAGGGGGAGATGGTGCTGTAGAGGTAATGTCATGAGTGCAGCAATCCAGAACCTCATACTAATGTTCTGGAGACGAGTTTGAATGATGCCATGGCAGTTTGTGAACTTTGAGTTCAATAAACAAAAAAAGAATAAAGAACTAATCTAATGGTGGCCTTGTAACTGCTGTCAATTGTTGTAAAGACTCACCTGTTTCGCTAACTGTACTTGAGGGGAGGAAATCTGCCATCCGTAACTGGTCTGGACTATGTGATTCCAGACCCACAGAAATGTGGTTGACCACAAGATCATAAGATATAGGGGCAGAATTAGGCAATTTGGCCCATTGAGTCTTCTCCAACATTCAGTCATAGAGTCATACAGCACGAAAATGGAGCCTTCAGTTCAATTCATCTGCGCCAACCAGACATCCCAACCTGACCTAGTCCCATTTGCCAGCTTTTGGCCCTTATTCCCTCTAAACACTTCATATACCTATTCAGATGCCTCTTAAACGTTGTGATTGTACCCGCTTCCACCACTTCTTCTGGCAGCTCGTTCCAGATATGCACCACCCTCTGCGAGAAAATGTTACCCTTCGGGTCTCTTTTAAATCTTTTCCCTCTCACTGTAAACCTAGGTACTCTACTTTTAAAAGATAAAAGCCTTCACTCTATCATTGAACAATTTTTTGAACATTTAGAAGGAGATAGAAAAATCGACCTCTGGAAATCCGTTGTTTGTTAGCTGAGAGAATCATGGCCACTTATAAACTGAGGTTGTAGACCACCGTCTTTCCTAGCAACATTAACACTTTGCCATTTCTGTAAATGTTACTAATCGTACAAAGTCGGATCCATTTTGGCCTGTTTCAGTACTAAGCTGCTGAAGAACAATTTTCTCAAAAAGGAATGGGTAGCTTAGAATAATGCAATAGCCATAGATCTGAATAACAGCACTTAAGAGATGGACAGACTGCTAGCAGACCATGTGTTAAATACTAACAAAAACTGAAAGAGCTGTGGATGCTGTAAATTGGAAACAAAAACAGAAATTGCTGGAAAAGCTCAGCAGGTCTGGCAGCATCTGTGGAGAGAAATCAGAGTTAACGTTTTGAGTTGAGTGACCTTTCCTCAGAAGCATGTGTGCCTGGTGGATCCTGGAACTAGGTGAACAGCTAAGTTCTAAAGTGCAGAAGATCAGATAAATTAGGATTGGGGTGGTGGAAGCAGATGCAAAAGTAATCTTCAATAAGGAATCTGTAGAGTTATGGAGTTAAACAGCAAGGTCCAACTTGCCCATGCTGACCAGATGTCCTAAACTAATCTAGTCCTATTTGCCAGCACTTGACCCATATCCCTCTTAAACCCTTCCTATTCATCTGCCCATCCAGATGCCTTTTAAATGTTGTAACTGTACCAGCCTGCACCACTTCGTCTGGCAGCTCATTTGATCCACATCACCCTCCGTATGAAAAAGTTAACCCTCAGGTACCTTTTAAATCTTTCCCCTCTCACTTTAAACCCACGCTGTCTAGTTTTGGACTTCTCCACCATGGGAAAAAGACCTTGGCTATTCATCCTATCCATGCTTTTCATGATTGTATATACCTCTATAAGGTCACCCCTCAGCCTCCGATGCTCCATGGGAAAAAAAAACCCAGCCTATTTCAGCCACTCCCTATAGCTGAAACACTCCAGTCCCAGCAACATCCTTGTAAATCTTTTCTGCACCCCCTTAAGTCTAAAAACATCTTTCCTCTAGAAGGGCAACCAAAATTGAATGCAGTATTCTAAAAGTGGCCTCACCAATGTCCTGTATAGCTGCAACTCCTATACTCACTGTTCTGACTAATGAAAGCAAGTGTACCAAATGGTGCCTTCACCACCTTGTATACCTGCGACTCCACTTTCATGGAACTATGCACCTGTACCCCTCGGTCTCTTTGTTCAGCAACACTTCCAGGGGCCCTACTGTTAACTGTACAATCCTGCTCTGGTTTGCCTTATCAAAAGGCAACACCTCACATTTATCTAAATTAAACTTCATCTGCTATTCCTTGGCGCATTGGCCCATCTGATCAAAGTCCCGTTGTACTCTGAGGTATTCTTCTTTATTGTCCACTACACTATCTTTTTTTGGTGTCATCTGCAAACTTACTAATCATTCCTCCTATACGTACATCCAACTCATTTATATAAATGATGAAAAGCTGTAGACACAGGCCTCCAGTCTGAAAAGCGACCCTCTATCACCACAGCAGGCCAAGCAGCATCATAGGAGCAGAGAGGCTGACGTTTTGGGCCTAGACCCTTTCTGATGAAGGGTCTAGGCC